CTCCCCTGTGGCCGTGCAGGGAGGAGGCACCTGGAGGAGGGCTGCTGCGGAGGGAGGCAGCTGGTGGTGCTGCAGCTGCCTTGAGCTCGCCCTCACGCTATCAGCTAAGTAACCGTTCCTCCACGCCCTCATTCTTGCCCGCCACATCTTGGCTTGTTGCTTTCTTGCTTCCATTTTGTTTGCCGGTTGTGCGTTCGCCCTTCCCTTTGAAACACTGCCATTGGTTGAGTGCGGTACACATGCCACAGACCCCTCCACTTCAGGTAACCCTCTCAGGTGCAGGTAACCCCTTCAGGTGCAGGTACACCCCTCAGGTTTTTTTTCAGGTGCCCTTGGGTCTGCAGCTTGTGGCCGTGCCTTAACCAGAGGCTCCTCCTCCCTTCCCTTGTGCTGGATTTCAAGTCACAGTTTCCCATTCAACTTGCTCCCACCACTGCGCTCTGACTAGCTCTGTGTGAACTTGCTCATTGCAGGTGGCGGGGAGGGGTGTGGGGTCAACACCGACGCTCCCTCACGCCCCTCCCCTGTGGCCGTGCAGGTGGCAGTGGTGGGAGGGGAGGGGGGCAGCACTCCACTCGGCTGGGATGGGATGGGAGAGTATCGGGATGGGGTCGTCTGGAACAAGGTGAGCCTCTTTTCCCTCGTGCACTCATGCTGCTGCTTGGTCTTCTCCTCATGCTCACTTCTCTTCCTTGCTCTCTCCCTGCCTTTCTCCCTGCCTTCACGCTTCTCTCTGTTCTCACTGCTGTCCCTTCACATTGTTACCCCTAGCCGCTTACTCACTTCCCTTCAGTTCTCTCCTTGCAGGTGGAGGGGAGGGGCGTAGGGGTCAACACCGCCACTCCCCCGCACCCCTTCCCTTGTGGCCGTGCAGGTGGCAGCTGTGGGAAAGGAGGGGGGCATCACTCCACTCGGCTGGGATGGGATGGGAGAGTATCGGGATTGGGTCGTCTGGAACAAGGTGAGCCTCTTCTCCCTCATGCACTCATCCTGCTGCTTGGTCTTCTCCCCATGCTCACTTTTCCTTCTTGCTCTCTCCCTGCCTTCATGCTTCTGTCTGCTTCTTTCTAGCTCTTCTCCCCATGCTCACTGCTCTCCCCATGCTCACTGCTCTCCCCATGCTCACTGCTCTCCCCATGCTCACTGCTCTCCCCATGCTCACTGCTCTCCCTTGCTCCCCTGCCTCCCTCCCTCTCCCTTCCCTCTCAGTACATTGAAGGCTGTATCTGAGCAGCAGGGGGCAGCAGCAGGGCAGCAGCGGAGGGGAGGGGAGGGGCAGCGGCAGCAGCAGGGGAAGCAGAGTAGCAGACCGGCAGCAGCAGTAGCAGCAGCAGCAGCAGCAGCAGGGGGGCTAGAGGGCAGACTAGGTTAGATGCAGTTGCAGGTGAGGTATGGTACAAGGTATGGTATAGTAACAGGTGTGGTATGGTACAGGTGAGTTATGGTAAGCTGATCCCCTCCTCTCTCTCTTCCCCCTCTTCTCTCCCGCAGGCTGAAGGTGAAAGCACTGGAGCAAGGGCGGGAGAGTGGAGCCCACCCTCTCACTCACCTCCTCCTCTCTCCCTTTTCCCTTCCCTCCCAGCAGCACCCTGCCTGGACCACAGTGGAGTCCCGCCCTCCCTTAATCCCCCCCCTTTCCACTTCCCACCAGCCTCACCAGCATGGCGCTCTGCATGGCTCGGGTAAGTGGAGGTAAGTAGAGGTAAGGAAGCATGGGGGTGAAGTGTGGGGGGAGGTGGGTGGGGGAGAGCATGGGAGCATGCATTCAGGTCACTGCCTTAGGGGCAGCATTCTCAGGGGATGTCCCTTGTGGGGTGGGGTGTGGAGGGTGGAATCTCCGCGGCACGGCACTCGGTGCTCAGGTTCCCGATCCGGCGTTTAAGGCTTAATGGACACCGTCAGAGCCGACCGGCCGGCGGCTCTGGTTCGCGTCAGCTCTAGCTACGTCAGGGGCGGGATTTGAGTCTTGGGCTGGAAGCGATTTTTCTCTGCCACACCTCGCCCCACAAGGCACCGCCTCTGGGGGTGCTGTTTCCTTAAGAAAGTGGGCTTTCTGCTGCTCCTACTGCTGGCAGGTGAGTGTGGGGATGGGCTGGGTGGGTGAGTGAGAGAGAAGGGGCCTGAAACCCCTTGGGTTGGGTGGGTGAGAGGGAAGGGGCCTGAATCCCCTTGTGTGGGTGAGAGGGAAGGGGCCTGAGTCCCCTTGGGTGGGTGAGAGGGAAGGGGCCTCAGTCCTCTTTGGTGGGTGAGGGGGAAGGGGCCTGAGTCCCCTTGGGTTGGGTGGATGAGAGGTAGGGGGCCTGAATCCCCTTGGGTGGGTGGGTGAGAAGGAAGGGGGTACTGAAACCCCATGGGTGGGTGAGTTAAAGGAATGGGGACTGAAACCACATGAGTGGGTGAGTGAGAAGAAAGGGGGACAGAAACTCCATGGGTAGGTGAGTTAGAAGTAAGGGGGACAGAAACCCTTTGGGTGGGTGAGAGAGAAGGATGGGGGACTGAAACCCCTTGGGAGGGTGAGTGAAAGGGAAGGGGGACTGAAACCCCATGGGTGGGTGAGTGAGAAGGGGGACTGAAACCCCATGGGTGGGTGAGTGAGAAATATGGGGAACAGAAACCCCATGGGTGGGTGAGTGAGAAGGAAGGGGGACAGAAACCCCATGGGTAGGTGAGTGAGAACGAAGGGGGACTGAAACCCCATGTGTGGATGAGTGAGAAGGAAGAGGGACTGGAACCCCTTCGGTGGGTGAGTGAGAAGGAAGGGGGATTGAAACCCTATGGGTGGGTGAGTGAGAAGGAAGGGGGACAGAAACCGCTTGGGTGGGTGAGTGAGAAGGAAGGGGTACTGAAACCCCATGGGTGGGTGAGTGAGAAGGATGGGGGACTGAAACCCCATGGGTGGGTGAGTGAGAAGGAAGGGGGACAGAAACCGCTTGGGTGGGTGAGTGAGAAGGATGGGGGACTGAAACCCCATCGGTGGGTGAGTGAGTGAGAAGGTACGGGGACTTGAACCGCTTGGGTGGTTCGGAGAGAATATGGAGCTGGAATGTGAGTATGTGAGTGTCTGTGAGTGTCTGTGAGTGTCTGTGAGTGTCTGTGAGTGTCTGTGAGTGTCTGTGAGTGTCTGTGAGTGTCTGTGAGTGTCTGTGAGTGTCTGTGAGTGTCTGTGAGTGTCTGTGAGTGTTGGTGACTAATGTGTGTGTGCGGAGAGAATATGGAGCTGGAATTCCCTGGGTCGGCTGAGTAGGACGAGAGTCTGTGTAAGTGTGAGTGAGTGCTTGTGGGTCTGTGTGTGAGTGGGTGGATGTGTGTGGGCACTGCACGTGAGTGTTACTGATTGTGAGTGGAAGTGTGTGAGAGTGTGATTGACTGTGAGTGCCGGAGGGAGTTCAAGTGTGTGTTGTGTGTGTGTGTGTGTGTGTGTGTGTGTGTGAGTTTGGCTGCATATGAGTGTTGGTGACTCTGTGTGTGCAGAAGTGTGTAAGTGACATGTGTGTGTTTAAGCGTGTGTGAGTGCGATGTTTGTATGTTTGTGTGCGAATGTGTATTTGGCAGGTGAGAATGACATTGAGAGATGCGAGGGAGTGACTGTGTGTGAGGTGAGGGATTAGTGTTTGTGGTGACTCTGTGTGCGTAAGTGTCTGTGACTAAGTGTGAGGTGAGGGATTGTGAGGGAGTGACTGAGTGTGAGGTGAGGGATTGTGTGTATAGGTGCGCGTGAATGTGCATCTGGCAGGTCAGAACAATATTGGGATTCCGAGTACCGGTATGTGATTGTTGGTGACTATGTGTTTCCAAGTGTGCGTGACTGTGTATGTGGCAGGTGAAATTGACATTGAGATGCTCCAGATGGTTGGTTTGGGTGTGGCAATGGCAAATGCTGGCCAGTCAGTCAAGGCAGTGGCAGACCATGTGTCGAGCTCTGACGACCATCATGGCTTGGCGGCTGCTGTAAAAGAGTTGCTCTTACTACTGCTGGAATATGTTGCTAGGACTAAGATGCGTGAGTAATCACTACCAGTGCCATAAACGAGGCTGTGATAAAGCTTACCATTCAGTAATATTCAGTTTATGCTGCGTAGAGTTGATTGAAGCTATTCAAGAAGTGCAGATTTCAGTGAGATAAATAAATGAAAGTGTCTAATTGTTGCAGATGTCATGAAGTTGTATTTTTTGTTAGCTGATTGAGTATCATATCGAAGAACACTCAAAAGTATCTATTGATTGATCGAGGAGTGATCTGATGCGTTCTGCCTCGGTTCATTTCATCTGTTGGAGCTTCCTGAATGTCGAATCAAAAGCTTCATGCTGTTCTACGAAATATCCCCAAATTGCGCCGTCCGCAGGCATCCTGTTGGAGCAGAAGCCCCGCCCTCCGCAAAACTCCTGAATCTGCGCCTTCATTGCATCGTGTCAGGCTTTTTGGGGGAGCGCATTCACAGGCCCGCGCTACTTGATGGGTATCCTTGCCGGAACTGTTAGCCTCGACGTTCTTGGCGACACCCACATGTTTCGCAAACATCCGTCGTTTGAGCAGGGGACTGCTTGCAGCGCAGAAGCGAAGCAACAATCACGTCGCCAGTGCTATTTCGCTTGTCGCACTCGATTTTCGTGACTTGGCCGTTTGTTCGAAATCTTCCGCGCTCGCGGACTTTCGCGGGCGAATCTTGTGGGCGGTGCTTCCTCTTCCGCCGCTTGGTTCACCTCGGGATTGGTTGGGACCACTCTGGGCTGTGCTGAACCATGCCTGTGATGGCCCAGCGGAAACCGGGAGTAGCCAAGACACACAGCAGAATTCAACCACTTCGAAACCATTTCAACCGTGATACTTAGCCATCTTTTGTTGGCAAATTCCACAGCTCGTTCCGTGCGCCAAATCACCACCACCCGTTCCTCTCCGCTCATTCTTTCCACTCCATCGCCTCGTCGCCTTCATTCCATTACGTCTTGTCTTACCGCTCCACTTAGTTACGACGACATTTTCTTCCTCCTCAGGGCTATCCATGGCCGCTAGCTTCGTTGTCGCTGGATACAACTTTTTATCGTCCTCGCAACGATTAGCTTCCCAGGTCGACTGCTTCTCTAGTACTCGCTCGCTGACCGCGTTTTCCTCTGGAGCGGTTTCTGGCGAGGTTGCGTCTTCTCCGTGCTCTGCGATGAAGCAATGATACTCAGATAGCTATTTCGACAAGGTTAGTCTTCCAGTTCGGCGATACTTCTCTGCTAGCGTCAGTTTCTCGTGGATATAAGTTTCATTCTATCATCAGGCTTCTCATTTCGCGCTCGAACCTCTCAGATGTTCATTTCCCGATTACACTTTTCTGTCTCGCCCACGCCAGAGGCGCCTGCGCTACCGAACACGTGCCGTCGTGGCGACGCGATTTCTCATCCTCAGGCCGTCGTTGCCTCGTCACGCGTGCTTCCGCGATTTCCGCACACTGTTCTATGAATGCTTAGGTACGACTTGCTCGAAGTGGAAATAATCCTGTCGCTTCTTTCATCCCTACGACTCGCTTCTTTCATCCCGACTCGTCACACATTTTCTCTGCCTGCCTCGTTAGTGTCACTTTTGAAAACATCTCTTCGTTATTGCTGCGCTGCCTGCGTTTCAGTATCGACTGACAACGATGTCGGAATCGTTCGCGTGTCGTCGCACGGCGAAATCGATGGACGCGCGTCGCAGCACGGCGAAATCGTCGTCCCCGCGTCGCAGCCCGGCGAAATTGTCGTCCTCGCGTCTTAGCACGGAGGAATTGTCGTCCTCGCGTCGTCGCACGGAGTAACTGTCGTTCCGCGCGTCGTACTAAGGCGGAATCGCGTTCCGCGCGTCGTACTAAGGCGGAATCGCGTTCCGCGAGGCGGAATCCTCGACCGCGCGTCGTACTAAGGCAGCATGATCGGAATCGTTCGCGCGTCGTACTACGGCGAAATGGTTGGCCGCGCGTCGTACTACGGCGAAATGGTCGTCCGTCCGACATCGCATGGCGAAATGGTCGTCCGCGCGTAATGGCTAGTTAAATGGTCGCATGGCCGTACATCTGTTGGCGTGGGGGTGGGCAGCAGCTGCGGCGGCACCACCAGCTCTCGTTGCTTTGTCAACCGCCAGCTGAGTGCCTTGACCTCCCTCCACTCTGTTCCTTTCATGTCATCCTTGCACCATGCACCATGCATCATACTCCCTTCTTCACTGCTCTTTGTCACACCCATTAGACCTCCCTCCCCCAAGGTAGCAGGTATTTTTTTTCTTGGTACAGCCTCAGGTATTTGTTTTAGTTTGGTTCAGCTGGTACGAGGTCTCTTGGGTGTGCCACTGCAGCAGTCCATTCATGCACGCATCATGCTTGCGCTTGCTGCACTCTTCAGTCTCACTTGTCTTGGCTTCTTTCCTCACTGCTCTCTCCACTCCTCTGCCCCCCCTTCACTCCCCCGTTTTCCTCCCCCCCGCCTCCCTTTTTCCCTCTGTCTCGATTTGTCCCCTCTCGTCCCAGCAGGTCGCTCACACGGGAGGCGAGGGGAGCACCATGGCGGGCAGCAGGAGCGCGGGCAGCGGGGCAGCAGCGCCGGCCTCATCAACGGTTGAGGTTGCAGTATCGCCCCTGCCACCACACTCCACTTGAGCCCACTCCCCCTCAGGTTCAGGTTCAGGTTCAGGTGCAGGTTCAGGTTCAGGTTGGTAGCGGCTCTTGTGGGGCTGTGGTTGGCGTCACAAGCACCGTCTTTTTGCACTCCCACTGCTGCCTGTCTTCTCCTTTAAAAGGTTCACTCCCTCCCACCTGCCTCTTACTATCTCTCTATCTCTCTCTCTGTCTCGCAGGTCTGCCTCTTCAAGCCCCGCTCGCCCTGCCCACTCTCCATTGAAGCACCCATCCCTTCCGCCTGCACCACACAATCAGCTAAGTACCTTTCCCCATATGCCTGCACCCTTGCCTGCAGCATCGTTTCGTTTGTTTCATATGCTTTGCACCGTCTTCTTGAAACTTTGCCACTGGTTGAGAGCGGTTCACATGCTACAGACCCCCACTCTTCAGGTAACCCTCTCAGGTGCTGGTAACCCCTTCAGGTGCAGGTACACCCCTCAGGTTTTTTTTCAGGTGCCCTTGGGTCTGCAGCTTGTGGCCGTGCCTCAACCAGTGGCTCCTCCTCCCTTCCCTTGCGCTGGATTTCAAGTCACAGTTTCCCATTCAACTTGCTCCCACCACCGCGCTCTGACTAGCTCTGTGTGTGCGCGTTGCAGGTGGCGGGGAGGGGTGTGGGGTCAACACCGACGCTCCCTCACGCCCCTCCCCTGTGGCCGTGCAGGGAGGAGGCACCTGGAGGAGGGCTGCTGCGGAGGGAGGCAGCTGGTGGTGCTGCAGCTGCCTTGACCTCGCCCTCACGCTATCAGCTAAGTCACCCACTTCCATGCCCTCACCCTTGCCCGCCACATCATGGCTTGTTGCTTTCTTGCTGCCATTTCGTTTGCCGGTTGTGCTTTCGCCCTTCCCTTTGAAACAATGCCACTGGTTGAGCTCGGTTTACATGCCTCAGACCCCCTCTCTTCAGGTATCTCCTCAGGTGCAGGTAACCCTCTCAGGTGCAGGTCCCCCCTTCAGGTGCAGGTTCCCTTGGCGTCTGTGGCGTGTGGCCTTGCCTCAACCAGTGGCCCTCCCTACCTCTTCCACATCTGGCAGTTTCCGCTCTTTGCCTTGTTTTGTGCCCATGCCATGCATACTGACCACCGCCGTGTGTGTGCATTGCAGGTTGAGGGGAGGGGCGCTGGGGTCAACACCGACGCTTCCCCACGCCCCTCCCCTGTGGCCGTGCAGGGACTCGTGGGGACGGGAGGGAGGCAGCACTGCAGCATGGCAAAACCACTGCAGCAAGGGAGAGTATTGGATGGGCTTGGCCTCTCAAGGTAAGCCTCATAATTCTCTTTGCCGCTGCACTGGTTTTCTGCTAACTTGCCCTCGCGCTCATCCCTTTGATTCGCCCTTGCCTGTTTCAAGGCCTGCACTCACTCCCCTCCTGGCCTCCCCTTCCGTTCTTCCCTCCTCCAGGTCACTCGCAGTGCAAGAGGCAGCTCATGGCACAGTGGCGGCGGCAGTAGCAGCAGCAGCGGCAGCAGGAGCGCACAAGCAGCAGAGGAGTCAACATCATCAGCTGCCAGCTAAGTGCTTTCTCTTCCCTGGAATCACCCTCGCTTGCTGCTCTTTCCTTACGTTGCTGCCTGATTCATTTTCGCATGTGCTTCCTCGTTTCCTCCCTGGACATCCCGCCACTGGTTGAGGCCCGGTTTGCAAGCCACAGACCCCCTCCCCCTTAGCTCCTAAGCCTTTCAGGTCAAGCCCTCCCTAGGCCTTACACCCCCCTCAGGTTACCCCCTGCTTTCAGGTCCATTGTCAGGTTCCCTTGATGGTCTGTGGCCTGTGATCCTTCCCTCCTCCAGTGGCCCCTTCCCCCCACTTCCCTGCATCTGAAGTCCCAGCTGCCATTTCAGCCTTGTGTTATGATTGCACACTCACTATCTCTGTGTGTGTGCCTCGCAGGTGTAGGGGAGGGGCGCAGGGATCAACGCCAACACTCCCCCACGCCCCTCCCCTGTGGCCGTGCAGGTGCCCGCGGGGATGGGAGGGCGGCAGCACTGCAGCAGCTTGCAGCTGGTGCCACGAGGGAGAGTTTCGGGGTGGGCTGGCCTCTCAAGGTGTGTTACCTCCCTTCCTCCTTGAAGTGCATTTGTTCCTTCAGTTCTTGCTGCAGTTCTCTCTGCATTTTGCCCTTGTTGTCTTTCTCAGCTTATGCATTTTCCTGTTGACTTCACTGTTTCTTTTCACGTCACATCACTAACCTTCTGCCCTTTCTCTCCTGTCCCCCTCCCCCTTCTCTGCCCGCCACCAGGTCACTTGGCATCAAGAGAAGAGTGCAGCAGAGGAAGCAGAGTAGCAGACCGGCAGCAGCAGTTGCAGCAGCAGAAGCAGCAGCGCAGCAGCAGTGGGGGGTGGGGGGCAGGACAGGGGATTAGGCTAGGCATGGTGTGAGCGAGGTGTGGTAAAAGGTTTGGTATGGTACCAGGTGAGGTGAGGTTTGGTGGTCTGATTTCCTCCCCTCTCTTCCCTTTCTCCCCTGCAGGATGAAGGTGGGAGCACTTGAGCAAGGGCGGGAAAGTGGAGTCCACCCTCTCACTCACCTCCTCCTCTCTCCCATCTCCCTCCCTTCCCTCCCAGCAGCACCCTGCCTGGATTACAGAGGAGTCTTTCCCTCCCCTGATCTCCCCTTCTCTCTCCACTTCCCAGCAGCCTCAGCATCATGGCGCTCTGCACGGCAAGTACAGGTACGGAGGTAAGTACAGGTAAGGAGGCATGGGGGTGAAGTGTGGGGTGGGTGGGTGGGGAGCGTGGGAGAAAGCGGGGAGTTCACTGCCTTAGGGGCAGCATTCTCAGGGAATGTGCCTTGTGGGGTGGGGTGTGGAGGGTGGAATCTCCGCGGCACGGCACTCGGTGCTCAGGTTCCCAATCCGGCGTTTAAGGCTTAATGGACACCGTCAGAGCCGACCGGCCGGCGGCTCTGGTTCGCGTCAGCTCTAGCTACGTCAGGGGCGGGATTTGAGTCTTGGGCTGGAAGCGATTTTTCACTACCACACCTCGCTCCACAAGGCACCGCCACTGGGGGTGCTGTTTCCTTAAGATAGTGGGCTTTCTGCTGCTCCTACTGCTGGTAGGTGAGTGTGGGGATGGGCTGGGTGGGTGAGTGTGAGAGAAGGGGCCTGAAACCCCTTGAGCGGGTGGGTGAGAGAGAAGGGGCCTGAAACCCCTTGAGCGGGTGGGTGAGAGAGAAGGGGCCTGAAACCCCTTGAGCGGGTGGGTGAGGGGGAAGGGGACTGAATTCCCTTGGGTGGGATGGGTGAGAAGGAAGGGGTGAATCCCCTTGGGTGGGATGGGTGAGAAGGAAGGGGTGAATCCCCTTGGGTGGGATGGGTGAGAAGGAAGGGGTGAATCCCCTTGGGTGGGATGGGTGAGGTGAATCCCCTTGGGTGGGATGGGTGAGAAGGAAGGGGTAAATTCCCTTGGGTGGGATGGGTGAGAAGGAAGGGGTGAATCCCCTTGGTTGGGTTGGGTGAAAGGGGTGAATCTCCTTGGGTGGGATGGGTGAGAAGGAAGGGGTGAATCCCCTTGGGTGGGATGGGTGAGAAGGAAGGGGTGAATCCCCTTGAGTGAGATGGGTGAGGAGGAAGGGGTGAATGCCCTTGGGTTGGTTGTGTGAGAGGGAAGGGGACTGTCTCCCCTTGGGTGGGATGGGTGAGAAGGAAGGGGTGAATCCCCTTGGGTGGGATGGGTGAGGTGAATCCCCTTGGGTGGGATGGGTGAGAAGGAAGTGGTAAATTCCCTTGGGTGGGATTGGTGAGAAGGAAGGGGTGAATCCCCTTGGGTGGGATGGGTGAGAAGGAAGGGGTGAATCCCCTTGGGTGGGATGGGTGAGAAGGAAGGGGTGAATCCCCTTGGGTGGGATGGGTGAGAAGGAAGGGGTAAATTCCCTTGGGTGGGATGGGTGAGAAGGAAGGGGTGAATCCCCTTGGGTGGGATGGGTGAGAAGGAAGGGGTGAATCCCCTTGGGTGGGATGGGTGAGAAGGAAGGGGTGAATCCCCTTGGGTGGGATGGGTGAGAAGGAAGGGGTGAATCCCCTTGGGTGGGATGGGTGAGAAGGAAGGGGTGAATCCCCTTGGGTGGGATGGGTGAGAAGGAAGGGGTGAATCCCCTTGGGTGGGATGGGTGAGAAGGAAGGTGTGGTGTGGTGTTCTCGATGGGTGGTGTGTTCTGGATGGGTGGTCTGTTTTGGATGGGTGGTGTGTTTTGGATGGGGCTGGATGGGTGGTGTGTTTTGGATGGGGCTGGATGGGTGGTGTGTTCTGGATGGGTGGTGTGTTCTGTATGGGTGGTGTGTTCTGGATGGGTGGTGTGTTCTTGATGGGTGGTGTGTTCTGGATGGGTGGTGTGTTCTGGATGGGTGGTGTGTTCTGGGGTGGTGTGTTCTGGATGGGTGGTGTGTTCTGGATGGGTGGTGTGTTCTGTATTGGTGGTGTGTTCTGATGTTCTGATCATACTATAGTATCTGGTGTATCTTGCCAAGCACCTGTGCTGCTGAGGGATATGGTAGACCTGTGCTTTGCAAGAATGGGGGTTTTTGCGTGGGGGCTGTCATGATAAGTTACGAGTCAAGATTGAACTCTTGGCTTAGGATCACCGCAGGTTGATGGAAGAAGCTTACTGGTTTGGTAATGTTTAGTTATAGAGATAAATGCGGTATTGCAAAAGAGAATAGTGTACTATGTACCTGTTGTAAATTTATGTAACTGATTGCACATTATTTTAATCCATCTGAACTCAGTATTGTAACTTACTTGCCCATACTGATCCGCTTGAGTTCCATACAGAATGCCTCTAATTCTTTGTAGCCCTTATGGCTTGGAAGCATGTGCAATGCAACACCCATCTATAAGGTTTATCAATACCGTAGTATATTTAACTAAAATGCCGACATGCATCAGAGCAGTTTCACCCCTTCAAGCTCATCAACATCCATCTCAGCATAAAGCTCCCTCAGCTTCTCAATCACTTCATCGTTTGCTTGTACCCGCAGCCTCCTACACTAATCAATACCGTAGTTTATTTTCACTTCTACAGTATTATACACCATTACACTACGGTATTCCATGAAGAGTTGCTCACTAGCGCAGCTTCACCCCTTCAAGCTCATCATCCATCTCAGCATAGAGCTCCCTCAGCTTCTCAGTCACCTCCATGTTCACCTGCCATGCTACAGTACTTGATACAGTTTATCCATACATGTACTTTTCATCACTAACTAGCGCAGCTTCACCCCTTCAAGCTCATCGTCCATCTCAGCATAGAGCTCCCTCAGCTTCTCAATCACCTCGTCATTCGCCTGCCACATGCCCCGCCCCGCTGCCTCCAGCATGCGCTTCAGAATGTTCTGGAACGCCTGCAGTGCCATACCGTAGTGGTCCATGGGACAAGAACAATGGAACACACCGAAGGGGACAAAGTGGAGAGTCAGAAAATGAAAGCCCACCTTGCCCTGCTGCCTCCAGCATGCGCTTGAGTATGTTCTGGAACACCTGCAGTGCCTTGGTGGGTAAGAGAACACATGCCAAGGGGACAGATTGGAGGGTCAAGAAAATCAAGGTCCGCGCCCCCGCTGCCTCGAGCATGCGCTTGAGAATGTTCTGGAACGCCTGCAGTGCCACGGTGGGTGCATGGGACAAGGGCAAGGGACCACACTGGAGGGACGCATTGGAAGGGCACTCCAAATCACCTCCCCACCCCAACATTCCTCCCCACCCCAACATTAGCGCACACACGCATGCACACACACACACGCACCTGGGGGTTGTTCTTCCTGAGCTTGGCAGCCATGGCGTCATCTAGTGCATAAGTATCAGCTGCCTGGTCGAACACCCAGTCCTCCTGGAACCCCGTGGTGCCGCCCCACCCCAGAAGCGCTGTCATGCGCTGCGATATCTCGTACGTGCCCCCGCTGCCCTGCGCTGCCATCTTCTCCGCCCACTTGGGGTTCAGCAGCTGGCGAGGTGAGGGGAGGGAAGAGAGGAGAAGAGGGCATGGGTGCTCAGTGAATCACGAGTCATGAGATGTGATATCTCGTACGCGCCCCCACTGCCCTGCGCTGCCATCTTCTCCGCCCACTTGGGGTTCAGCAGCTGGATGGTGGACAAGAGGGGAAGAGAGGGAAGGAGGGATCAGATATTCAGTGAGTCACACGTAATGAGGCAATGGAGGAGAGGATTGGCAGCGTCTGGATGAATAGCTGAGAAACACCTGCATGCAACGAGGCAGCCTTGCTAAGCAGGCGGTCTCAACCCACCTTGCATGTGGCCAACCTACCTTGGAGCGGTACTCGAGTCGCAGTGTGGCTTCAAGGTCGCGCGGGCGAAGGTCCTTGCCATATGTCTCCACCACACTACACGACACCTGCACATGTGGAGGGTCGGCAATTGAAAGAAGCAGGGGTGGAAGGGGAAGCAGGTTCTATTCTGATCCGGTTAACAGAAACCTTGCTGCACGTGGAGGGTGGGCGGTGGACTAGGGAGGGAGGTCAGGGAAATGGTACACACTATGGATAGGGCATATCAGATGGAGACGAGAGGAGCATGGGAGGGGGGGGAAGCATTGCAGGGGGGGAGGGCATGGAAGTGCATTACCTTGGCCCCATTGCGAGCGGTCTCAGCAGCATTCTTCATGGCGCCCGTGTTGGCATAGTACTCCTGGATGTCCGTCAGCCCATACTCCACGCTGTCTATCTCCTGCACTATGCGGTCTGTTGTTTGCAGCAGCTTGCGCATCACCTGGGAGGGGAGAGGGTTGAGTGGAGTGGGGTGAGGTGGGAAGGGATGGGGAGAGGCATGTCTGTCAGCCCATACTCCACGCTGTCTATCTCCTGCACTATGCGGTCCGTTGTCTGGAGGAGTTTGCGCATCGCCTGGGAGGGGGAGGGGTTGAGTGGGGTGGCGTGAGCTGCGGTGGGATAGTGTGTGTGTGTGAGGCATGTCCGTCAGCCCATGCTCCACGCTGTCTATCTCCTGCACTATGCGGTCTGTTGCATGCAGCAGCTTGCGCATCACCTGTGAGGAGGAGGGAGGGGTGGAGTGGGGTGGGGTGGGGTGGGTGGGGGTGGGGAGGGATACGGGGTGTGTGGAAAGAGTTGGTACCAGGAGCTGACTGAGACATGTCCGTAAGTCCATACTCCACAGATCATCCAGGGAAGGTCTAGGACGGCACGTGATATGCTGGTTGGCCAAAAGCAGAAAAAAGCACAAGAATAGTACAAATGGTAATGGTAATGAGGCGATATAATGATGGTAATGGTAATGAGGCGGAATGGTAATGGTAACGAGGCAGAATGGTAATGGTGATGGGGCGGAATGGTAATGGTGATGGGGCGGAATGGTAATGGTAATGAGGCGGAATGGTAATGGTAATGAGGCGGAATGGTAATGGTAATGAGGCGATATGGTAATGGTAATGAGGCGGAACGGTAATGGTGATGGGGCGGAATGGTAGTGGTAATGAGGCGGAATGGTAATGGTAATGAGGCGGAATGGTAATGGTAATGAGGCGGAATGGTAATGGTAATGAGGCGATATGGTAATGGTAATGAGGCGGAATGGTAATGGTAATGAGGCGGAATGGTAATGGTAATGAGGCGGAATGGTAATGGTAATGAGGCGGAATGGTAATGGAGCAGCAAGGTACCTCTGGTCGAGCCACGCCCTGCTCGCCCCTGCCATAGCTGAACGAGTTCCTGGACTGCCACGTGTCCCCCAGCTCCTCCCCGTTCTCCCTGTGACACGAACACACAATAGGCATGCCATAGGTCACATATGCGCCTATATGTTACAGTGTCACGTACGTGTGTTAGCAGCAAGCAACAGGAGGGACAAGACATGGCAGATTATGCACAGTGGCATTGTTCCAACGCAAATGGAGTGATGGGGAAGGAAAGGGGAGGATGAAGGGTGAGGAACGAACCAGTCAGCTGCACCGATGCGCTCATTGACCATTGATCCGTAATCGCCTGCTGGATTAGAGAAGATCCTGGCCGTTGACGCATCAATGCCTTCTGCCTGTAAGGTCACGCATCATGAGCAAGGAAAGTGGCAGTGGCAGTGACAGAGATAAGCTTTCAAGGAAGCCGGAGATTCCAAAGGCAAGTGCATGATAATGTCTGCAGCGCCAAGAAGTGTTATATTCTAGTTAACTGGAGCAAATCAGCAAGTGCAAGTGCATGAGATAAGGCTCAGAACTCACCTGCAGCGCGAGCGAGTGCTTTCTGAGAAGTTCATCTCTGGAGGCTCGAGAGCATATGCAGTGACTTCTTATTAGTTAACTGGAGAAAATCAGCAAGCAAGCGCAACTGCAAGTGCGTGAGAGGGAGTACCTGCAGCGCGAGCGAGTGCTTTCTGATGAAGTTCATCTCTGGAGGCTCGTCCGCCTCTGCCGCCCGCCGGAACAGGTCGTCCAGCAGCTCCACCACGTTGGCGAAGCTGTCTCGGAAGATGCCTGAGAGGTTCGCCAGCACGTCTACTCTCGGCCGCCCCAGCTGCTCCAGGGGAGTAAGGTCAAAGCGTACCACTCGCCCCGTGCCCTGCCGGGGTGAAGTGAAGGGGGAAGGAGTGAGAGACGATGGCATTACATGATGTTTGTGGGTTGCTATGAGACCCATGCCTCCAGGAGAGTGATGTCACAACACATCACTCTCGCCCCATGCCCTGTTTTGAGGCGCCTCAAAACAAGACCCATGCGTCCAGGAGAGTGGGGTCAGAACACATCACTCTCGCCCCATGCCCTGCCACACGTACAAAATCACACCACCATCCCTCACAGTCCTGCCTGCATTGCAACTTCACATCTTCTCCCATTCCCCCCTCCCACTCACCTCCTTCACGGGGTGTGCCCCTACGAGTGCGAGGGCTATGGCAACAGACTCGCCGCGCGTCTGATGGGGGTGGGAAAGGCAGAATGCAGGTAGGGCACGGAGGAGGGGAGAACAAGGTAGGGGAGAGAGTGGCATGCGTGAATGACGAGGCAGGGATGCTGCTTCGTAGAAAGAGGTGGAACGGAAAAGAAAGAGGAAATAGCATCGGAAGCAGTACCGAAAAAGAGAAGCAGAAAACGGTAAGCATGCACTCTGCAGAATCAGCTAGTATGGTGCAATGCAGGATGGCAGTGTCGTTCACACCTAAAAGCCCACCAACCTTGATAGCGTCAAGCCCCCAGAGCATGACTGCAACGGTCTCAGGGTACGTGCCGTGCTGGTCCAGGTGCTGCTGTATTATGTTGGCCGCTATGGCACTGCCCCTCTCCCATGCCGCTGGGGAAAGGGAGGAAAGGGAAGAGATGGAGGGGAGAGCAATGAGAGCAGCGAAAGTGGAGAGGTCAGGAGAGCATGGTGGGAGTGAGTGAGGGACTTCTGTTGTACGTGAATGAAGTGATTAAGTGGTACATGAGAGGGTGTGAAGGGGCAGCAACGAAGCACGCTTATTTCAGACACACGCATGCATGTCACTTCTGTCCCTCACTCCCAGCAACGAGCACGTTAGCCAGATTGAGCAGTGCGAGTGTAAATGTGTTGTGAGCAGTCAATAGGTCGTTTGATCACGACACCACACCCGGCAGTGCCAGGTGATGCGGTCATCACATCTCACAAAAGGGGGGCTCATGCCGAGCCGCATGGCGGGAACAAGGGGGGCTCATGCTGCATGGCGGAAACAGGCGATGCAGCTTGCCACCAGAGAATGTGAATTGCTCTTGAAAAGTATCATGTGTGGGGAGGCACACCTGCTGATGGCATGCGGTAGGGGTCCAACGCATGGATGTTGCGCCCCGTGGGGAGCACCCCTGCAGAGCAGCACAGGCAACACAGGCAAGAAGCAACACAGCAGGGCAGATAACGTTTGAGATGTCTCAGAGGGCATGCGGTAAGGGTCCAAGGCGTGGATGTTTCGCCCTGTAGGCAGCACTCCTGCAGAGCAGTAGACAACATGGGACGGGACAGGCAGCAGGCAGCAGAGGGCACAAGGATGTTTAGGACAAGAGAAACAGGTCTTTGTCTTGAGGTAAGAAAGAAGAAAGGGAAGAACGATCTCGAGACGGGGTAAGGGGTGACTAGGGAAGGGGTAGGGACGAGTGGGGATGGATAGAGGTGCTACGGAGGAGCATGAAACTTGGGGCATGGACGGACGGACAGAGAGGTGTGAAGCAGAACGTAGAAAGAGCTGCCAAGGATCACCATCAATCCCCGGATCTGACAGGTCCTATCAATACCCAATGACATGGGATGCGTGTGTGCAGCCTCACGTGGGCGTGCAGTGCAGGTGCACCGGGCTTTGGGTGGTGACCTGTAGCTTTCTGTCCGTGTGTGGATCCTCACCTGGGCCGTCTCGCAGCAGGTCACCTCCCACAGCAGGAGGCACATAGTCACCTGCACTCACACATGGCAGACAGGGGTCAGGACAGGAAAGGGAGGAGGGGAAAGAACCATGAATGTGTACGTCAACCGGCAGGCCTACTTGTTTCCCTTCCAACGTATTGATAAATCCAGCCATCCATCCACACCGCACTAAACCTCTCTCACCATCCAGCCCGCGCAGCACGTTATCGAGCTCCTCTGTGTTGCGCGCCAGAAGCTGCCGAATGCTCACCGCCTCCGCCACGCGTGCGTCCACCTCGGCATCCCGCGCGGGCGGCGCCACACCGTCCCTCAGGTACAGCTGCTCTAAGCGCTGCCGAACCTGGGGGACAGGCACGGTGGGAGAGGCGTGGTGGGTCAGGAACACGTGCGACATGCATGGTGGGGCAGACATGGTGGGACATGCATGGATAAGGTGGTGATTCTTGGAGCACTAACAGCCAAAAGAAATTAATTCCATGTTGAACCTACCATTCCCTATCTGTGCCGCTCTTCCCATCACCCCTCCCATCACTCTTCCCATCATACCCCATCCCCAACTCACCCTCTTGTCACGCACCTCAGCCAGGTCCCCATGGGTCTGAGCAACGGCCTCAATAGCCGTGTCATCCAGGTCATCCCCGAAGTAAGCTGACAGGTACTGCTCCATCTGCTCCTCTCACGGTAGTGCCTCCTCCCCCATTGGCCCCAGTCACCAACTCCCCACCCCCCACCACGCACCTCAGCCAGGTCGCCATGCGTGTGAGCAACGGCCTCAATGGCCGTGTCATCCAGGTCATCCCCGAAGTAAGCTGACAGGTACTGCTCCATCTGCTCCTCTCACGGTAGTGCCTCCTCCCCCATTGGCCCCAGTCACCAACTCCCCACCCCCCACCACGCACCTCAGCCAGGTCGCCATGCGTGTGAGCAACGGCCTCAATAGCCGTGTCATCCAGGTCATCCCCGAAGTAAGCTGACAGGTACTGCTCCATCTGCTCCTCTCACGGTAGTGCCTCCTCCCCCATTGGCCCCAGTCACCAACTCCCCACCCCCCACCACGCACCTCAGCCAGGTCGCCATGCGTGTGAGCAACGGCCTCAATAGCCGTGTCATCCAGGTCATCCCCGAAGTAAGCTGACAGGTACTGCTCCATCTGCTCCTCTCACGGTAGTGCCTCCTCCCCCATTGGCCCCAGTCACCAACTCCCCACCCCCCACCACGCACCTCAGCCAGGTCGCCATGCGTGTGAGCAACGGCCTCAATGGCCGTGTCATCCAGGTCATCCCCGAAGTAAGCTGACAGGTACTGCTCCATCTGCTCCTCTCACGGTAGTGCCTCCTCCCCCATTGGCCCCAGTCACCAACTCCCCACCCCCCACCACGCACCTCAGCCAGGTCGCCATGCGTGTGAGCAACGGCCTCAATAGCCGTGTCATCCAGGTCATCCCCGAAGTAAGCTGACAGGTACTGCTCCATCTGCTCCTCTCACGGTAGTGCCTCCTCCCCCATTGGCCCCAGTCACCAACTCCCCACCCCCCACCACGCACCTCAGCCAGGTCGCCATGCGTGTGAGCAACGGCCTCAATAGCCGTGTCATCCAGGTCATCCCCGAAGTAAGCTGACAGGTACTGCTCCATCTGCTCCTCTCACGGTAGTGCCTCCTCCCCCATTGGCCCCAGTCACCAACTCCCCACCCCCCACCACGCACCTCAGCCAGGTCGCCATGCGTGTGAGCAACGGCCTCAATGGCCGTGTCATCCAGGTCATCCCCGAAGTAAGCTGAGAGGTACTGCTCCATCTGCTCCTCCCACTGTACTGGCGTCACCCCCATCGCTCTCCCCCTATCACCAACCCCCATCACCGTGCCCGACCATCCCTCATCACCCACCTCAGCCAGGTCCCCATGGGTCTGAGCAACAGCCTCAATGGCTGTGTCATCCAGGTCATCCCCGAAGTAAGCTGAGAGGTACTGCTCCATCTGCTCCTCCTTGGGTGGACGGCCCAGATTGTGCAGCCCCTCCGAAAACAGACGGTTCTCCACCACCGCCTGGGATGCAGGGATGCGCAGTGATGGGGGGAAAGGGGGATTGGGCAGAAAGGGATTGGGGCAGCGATGGGAGTGGAGTGGAACAGCAGCTGGGATGCCCCTCGGAGAACAGACGGTTCTCCACCACCATCTGTAATGCAGGGATGTGCAGTGAAGGGGGGAAAAGGTGGGGGACGGTGATTGGGGGAGGGGGACTGGGCAGAAAGGGATTGGAGCGGCTATGGGTGTGGAGTGGAACAGAAGATTGTGCAGCCCCTCGGAAAACAGACGGTTCTCCACCACCGCCTGATTTGGGAAACGATTGGGGGCGATGGGATTTGGAAGGAGGAGATTGGTGGGGAGGGGATTGGGGGGAACGGGATGGGCATGGATTGGAGGGGTTAAGAGGAAAGGGATTGGGGCAGGGGGGAGAGTGGAACAGAGCAATGAGGATGCATAACGTCTGGAGGGGAAGGGTCGAATAGGAGAGGAAAGGGCATGAGAGAGGAGGGGGTTGTGACAGTAGTATAGGAAGAAGCATGCTCGCACACTCACTCACTCCTCACTCCCTCCATCCCTCACTCACTCCTTCATTCACTCCCTCCTTCCCTCACACCCTCTCTCCCTCATACTCACCAGGTACTCATACAGCTTCACGAGGTACATCTCAAACTCCGCCTCCGGCACCCCCTTGATGCTCTCCTCGTCCAGAAACACTGCCTCGCCCCCGCTAGAACCATCCGAGGGCACGAACGGGCAGTCTGCCTGCATGCCCGCCGTCACCAGCGCACCCACTATGGCCGGCTTGAGTGACTCGTTCTTTGCTGGGTCCTCCCGGAACTCTGAGATCTGCACATGGTGCAGAGTATGGGAGATGAAGGGCAGATCAAGGGGAGATAAGGGGGGATGAGGGGGAGATCAGGGGGGGATGAGGGGGGGATGAGGGGAGGATGAGGGGGTGTTCTTGGGTGTTTTAGACAGACAACTCACAGAGACTCGCATGGTTCAAGGCGCCTCACAACTCACCAGTTCTCTCAGCCCAGCAACCTCGTTGTACAACCCCGCCATGCCGTATGGAGGCACATTGTACGAGACGATGGTGCCATACCCCCGCCTCTCTGCTCAAGGCAGCTCTCACTCACCAGTTCCCTCAGTCCAGCAAGCTCCTTATACAGCCCTGCCCTGCCGTAGGGCGGCACGTTGTACGACACGATGGTGCCGTAGCCGCGCCTCTTGGCAACAATGGACTCTGAGGGGTTGTTGGCCGCATAGATGTAGCTGATGTGGAAGTGGGGGGAGGAGAGGGAAGGGAAGGTGGGAGCAGGAAAGCAGCACATGTTTGGGGAAATAGATGCTAAGGCACAACACCTCCGCCCCCCTCTTGGCCACGATGGACCCTGAGGGGTTGTTGGCCGCATAGATGTAGCTGATGGGGGTGTGGGGAATGGCGCATGGAGGGCAGGCAGCAGTGGAAAAGGAGGGAAATGTGGGGGTGCGAGTGAGGAGGAGACACATTTGAGATGAAGGGGGATTAAACAGTGAGAGTGTGGAAGTTTGGAGTGTGGTAGGCGGGAGTGTGGAAGGTGGGAATGCGAGACTCACATGTTGGGGAGGTTACCCAGCAGTACGTCGGACCAAGACAGGCCTGCAGGAGCGAGGAGATGGGAGTACAAGGCAGGAGAGAAAACGGACGAGGGAGTGTGGAGACGGGATGAGGAAAGAAGGATGGGGGACAAGGGGGGAAGCGTAGGGATGACGGAGGGGAGATGGATAGAGGCGCGCACATACACATGTGCAATATCATATTAAGCATGCACCACCATGCCATGTCACCCAATCCCCTGACAAACCTGTGTTGCCCAGAGGGCTGCCAGGAAGCCACTCCACGGTACCGTGCATGCCGAAGTGCACCACTGCATTCGCCTGCATGCCCTGCTGCAACCACTTGTAGAAGGCCGCGTACTGGTAGTGGGATGGCAGGCAGCAGAGGGGTGGAGAGATGGTGGGACAGCAGAGGAGAGGGGTGGGGGGATGGTAAGGCAGCAGATTGGTGAGTGGGGAGATAGTGGGTGGGACAACAGAGATTTGAAGACAGTGCATGGTCAGAGGGATGATACTATGAACGAAGTGCCAAGCGGAAAGTGCAGACAAGGAAGGGGATAGACATACACGATCGACAAGACACGGCACAAGGAACCGGTACCTGGGGGTGGGGAGTGAGGTCACGCTCAAACAGCAGGCGCATGGGGTCTCCCTCCAGGCCCAGCACTGGCTGCACTCCTATCCTGCCATGACAGTGCCACCCAGGGCAGGTGGTGGTGGGAGAAGAGAAGTGGAACGGGAGGAGAGGAGAGGATAAGAATCATCAGGGCACAGTCGGAAAGGGGGAGGGAATTGAGGAGTGAGATGTGGGGGGATAAAGAGAGAGACGAGTGCAGCCACTGCTTGTGTACAGATCGCAGGCAGGTGCTGAAGGCCAGAACCTTTGAGGCACTACACTGCAACGCACTGCACTGCACGCACCACACGTTGCCGAGCTGGATGCCGCTGACAACGCTCCTGCCCTCCGAGTCGCAGTGGATGGATCGGATCTTCCTCAACTCGCCCCACGCCCTAGAGCCCTGGCGACACTGCACCGCACCGCACCGCACTGCACCGCACCACCATGCAAGGGTAACTCACCACACGTTGCCGAGCTGAATGCCGCTGACAACGCTCCTGCCCTCTGAGTCGCAGTGGATGGATCGGATCTTCCTCAGCTCGCCCCACGCCCGCTCCATGCGCCCCGTCAGGGTCTCCCTGCCAGCCACAAAGAATCAAGAGGAGATGCAGTGGATGTGTGGGTGAGTACCGATCGTACTGTGCTGGTTCCTCACTCACACGACCCAGTCCCTGTTTTGCGGCACCAAAAAAAAACACCAGCATTGCCACTCCCCACTCACCCGATCCAGTCTCTGAGTTGCCGCCAGTCGATGCACTCTGCCATGGGCACCACCCCCTCCGGGATGCTCCTGGGGCCGTCCTCGCTGCGCTGCAGCTTCTCATTCACCGCCTTGAGTGCCAGCGCTGGCCCTTTCTCCCCCGCTGACACCACTCTGTCCGCATCCAGCTCCTGCAGCAGCGCGATCAGATCCTCACCGTTGATTTCGCCGCGTGCGATTGCCTCGCCTGCTGGGCCCAGGTCGTAGCTGGTGGGTGGGGAGGAGGCAGGGGAGGGTGGGGAGAGGAGGGGCAGGGGAGTGCGTGACAGTTAAAGGACGAGGACAGAAAGTGGTGTGTCGGTTGAAATTGAGTTAAACCAGCTGCGCCAGTGTGTATGGATCATACGTGTCGTCCGCTGCTCCAAGCCACTTGACTCAGCAGCTCAGCTATCTCCTTGCCCCGCTTCCCTCTCACTGCTCTCCTCTCACAATCCATACCATTCAGTCCAACTTTTCAGACTACGCCACCTGACTCAAGAGGCCCCAAAAGGGCTCTCTTCACCCACCCCTCTGCATGCATGCACTGGAGAGTTGGCTTTGGCAACTTGGGGACATCGAGGAAATGCAACTTCATACAAACAATACACCATAGATGCCTCTTGTGCTATGGCACTTGAGTCAGCAACTCACCCCTCTCCTCTCACCCCTCACCTACCCCTCTTTGTGCATGCGCTGCAGCAGTGCCTCCAGCGACTTGGGCACGTTGAGCAAAGCGGCAGTGCCGGTGGCGCCCACGCCAGGGGGGAAGCCGTACAGCACCAGGGCCACCTTGCACTGCGTCCTACATGCTTTCAATGCCATGCCCATGCACTCAGCAACTCACCCAACACCTACCCCTCTTTGTGCAACCTCTGCAGCAGGGCTTCCAGCGACTTGGGCACGTTGAGCAGGGCGGCAGTACCAGTGGCGCCCACTCCAGGGGGGAAGCCGTACAGCACCAGGGCCACTTTGCGCTCTGCTCTTGCTGTGCGCCGCAGGTTGATCCAACTCCACAGGCGCGAGGTCAGGCGCCTCACTCGCTCTGGCACCTGCGGTGGTAGGGTGGTAGGGGTGAGAGTGCGGCAGAGGGGCAGGGGTTAAGAGGGAAGCCGTACAGCACGAGGGCCACCTTGCGCTGGGCTCTTGCTGTGCGCCGCAGGTTGATCCAACTCCACAGGCGCGAGGTCAGCCTTCTCACTCGCTCTGGCACCAGTGACGTGGTGGGGCAGGAAGCAGAAGGTGGGGTTCCAGCAGCTGATGCCAGCCTATCAGGTGAATGCCGTCGCCCAGAAGGCCTCCCAGAGGCACAGCGCCGACGGCATGGCCCTATGAGAGCCCGACTTACTGCAGCCCCTGTGCCATATGAACGCATCTTAACCAGGAAACCCAGCCTACCTGGTGCATGCATAGCATACCATTTAAGCCCAGCCTACCAGGTGAATGCCATCGCCCACAAGGCCTCCCAGGGGAATGGCGTCGATCGCCCCGTCCAGCTCCGGCAGCGAGTAGAGCACGACTGACTGCAGCCCCTGTGCCAGGTGAGCGCATCTTACCCGGTGCATGCATACCGTCTAACCCCAGCCTACGACGTGAATGCCATCGTCCACAAGCAACCCCAGGGGCGCAGCATCAAAAGCCCCGTCCAGCTCCGGCAGCGAGTAGAGCACGACTGACTGCAGCCCCTGCAGCGTTGTGCCAGGAGAACGCATCTTACCAGGAAAACCCATCCCACCTGGTGCATGCATAGCACACTGCCTAACCCCAGCCTACCAGGTGAATGCCGTCGCCCACAAGGCCTCCTAGGGGCACGGCGTCAATGGCACCGTCCAGCTCCGGCAGCGAGTAGAGCACCACTGACTGCAGCCCCTGCACGCCGTCGCGCTTCCAGCTGGGAATGTCCTGAATGAGCAGCGGTGCTGCCACCACGTAGGGCACGTTCTTGGCGAGCAGGATGGACTTGGCCACCTGGTGGGAGAGGATGGGCATGACGGGTACGTAAAATGTCGTACTATTGGTCCGAGAAGCAATGGTGCAAGGAGGACCCGAGCACCGAGACGCTTCCAGCTGGGGATTTCCTGAATGAGCAGCAGCACTGCCTGTCACCACATAGGGCACGTTCTTGGCGAGTAGGATGGACTTGGCCACCTAGGGGGGGGATAGGAAGGGATGAGGATAAGGAACAGTGTGGAGGAAAGGGCAGAGAGAAAGATGGCAAGAGGAGAGAACAGAGCGAGCGGAACTGATGAAAAGAACAGAGCGGAAAGGGAGGCAGAGGGAGGAAGAGGCGGGGGAGTAGAGCAAGGGCGCATCTTTGGAGAGAAGACACACCTCTGCCTGGCGGCCACCTTCCATGGACCCCGCTGGCCCTCCGACCAATGGAAAACCTGCAGTGCGCAGCAGAGGAGACAGGTGTGAAGAAACGTGGCTTCAGAAATGGGTTGAGGCACAAGGAGCGAGTGGGCAGCAGAGTGCAAGCGCACAAGCGCAGTGCAAATCATATGCCACATGGCTCACCAATGGTGCTGACGACAGCATCGACTGTCACAGCGTCCTGCAAGAGGGATGGCGTCATAATCACCCCTTCCTCCTCTCCTCCTGCTCGTATTCAGTGGTGAGCAGATCCCTCACCACCGTGTGTGCCTCCACGCCATTGATGAAGATGGGCAGCGGCACCAGCCCTGCCTGCTGCAGCATGCGGATGAGGCGGGGGATGTAGGGCTGCTGCGTCACCACGTGCTTGCGATACAGCAGCAGCGCCACCACGGGAGCGGATGGGGGCAGATTTTTTTCAGATGATCGGAACCAGCGCAGGTAGGCGCTGGGGAGGTGAAGTAGCCGTCTGGGAAAGGGGTGGAGGGGGGAGGGGAAAACGGGAGAGAAGGGGGAGGGGAAAAGGAAGGGAAGGGGGAGGGGAAGTAGTGGGGGAAGATGAGCTAGAGAAGAGAAGATGAGGCGGGGGATGTAGGGCTGCTGCGTCACCACGTGCTTGCGGTACAGCAGCAGCGCCACCACTGGCGCGGACGGGGCAAGGTCCTTTTGGGAGGAACGGAACCAGCGCAGGTAGGCGCTGAAGGAGGTGAAGTAGCCGTCTGGGGAGAGAGAGAGGAGGCGGGGAGGTGGGGAGAGGGGAACATGGGGAACAGGATTGGTTCTAGGGGAATAGAAGTCGATCGGGACAAGCCGTAAGTTCTTTTTTCCGGACAGGCAGAAACAGGACAGGCAGAAACAGTACAGGCAGAAACAGTACAGGCAGAAACAGTACAGGCAGAAACAGTACAGGCAGAAACAGTACAGGCAGAAACAGTACAGGCAGAAACAGTACAGGCAGAAACAGTACAGGCAGAAACAGTACAGGCAGAAACAGTACAGGCAGAAACAGTACAGGCAGAAACAGTACAGGCAGAAACAGTACAGGCAGAAACAGTACAGGCAGAAACAGTACCGGCAGAAACAGTACCGGCAGAAACAGTACCGGCAGAAACAGTACCGGCAGAAACAGTACCGGCAGAAACAGTACCGGCAGAAACAGTACAGGCAGAAACAGTACAGGCAGAAACAGTACAGGCAGAAACAGTACAGGCAGAAACAGTACAGGCAGAAACAGTACAGGCAGAAACAGTACCGGCAGAAACAGTACCGGCAGAAACAGTACCGGCAGAAACAGTACCGGCAGAAACAGTACGGGCAGGAACAGTACGGGCAGGAACAGTACAGGCAGGAACAGTACCAGCAGAAACAGTACCAGCAGAAACAGTACCAGCAGAAACAGTACCGGCAGAAACAGTACCGGCAGAAACAGTACAGGCAGAAACAGTACAGGCAGAAACAGTACAGGCAGAAACAGTACAGGCAGAAACAGTACAGGCAGAAACAGTACAGGCAGAAACAGTACGGGCATAAACAGTACGGACAGAAACAGTACGGGCAGAAACAGTACGGGCAGAAACAGTACAGGCAGAAACAGTACAGGCAGAAACAGTACCGGCAGAAACAGTACCGGCAGAAACAGTACCGGCAGAAACAGTACCGGCAGAAACAGTACCGGCAGAAACAGTACCGGCAGAAACAGTACCGGCAGAAACAGTACCGGCAGAAACAGTACCGGCAGAAACAGTACCGGCAGAAACAGTACCGGCAGAAACAGTACCGGCAGAAACAGTACCGGCAGAAACAGTACCGGCAGAAACAGTACCGGCAGAAACAGTACCGGCAGAAACAGTACCGGCAGAAACAGTACCGGCAGAAACAGTACCGGCAGAAACAGTACCGGCAGAAACAGTACCGGCAGAAACAGTACGGGCAGGAACAGTACGGGCAGGAACAGTACGGGCAGGAACAGTCCCGGCAGAAACAGTACAGGCAGAAACAGTACAGGCAGAAACAGTACAGGCAGAAACAGTACAGGCAGAAACAGTACAGGCAGAAACAGTACAGGCAGAAACAGTACAGGCAGAAACAGTACAGGCAGAAACAGTACAGGCAGAAACAGTACCGGCAAAAACAGTACCGGCAGAAACAATACCGGCAGAAACAGTACCGGCAGAAACAGTACCGGCAGAAACAGTACCGGCAGAAACAGTACCGGCAGAAACAGTACCGGCAGAAACAGTACCGGCAGAAACAGTACCGGCAGAAACAGTACCGGCAGAAACAGTGCCGGCAAAAACAGTACCGGCAAAAACAGTACCGGCACAAACAGTACCGGCACAAACAGTACCGGCACAAACAGTACCGGCACAAACTGTACAGGCAGAAAAAGTACAGGCAGAAACAGTACAGGCAGAAACAGTACGGGCATAAACAGTACGGACAGAAACAGTACGGGCAGAAACAGTACGGGCAGAAACAGTACGGGCAGAAACAGTACAGGCAGAAACAGTACCGGCAGAAACAGTACCGGCAGAAACAGTACCGGCAGAAACAGTACCGGCAGAAACAGTACCGGCAGAAACAGTACCGGCAGAAACAGTACCGGCAGAAACAGTACCGGCAGAAACAGTACCGGCAGAAACAGTACCGGCAGAAACAGTACCGGCAGAAACAGTACCGGCAGAAACAGTACCGGCAGAAACAGTACCGGCAGAAACAGTACCGGCAGAAACAGTACCGGCAGAAACAGTACCGGCAGAAACAGTACCGGCAGAAACAGTACCGGCAGAAACAGTACCGGCAGAAACAGTACCGGCAGAAACAGTACGGGCAGGAACAGTACGGGCAGGAACAGTACGGGCAGGAACAGTCCCGGCAGAAACAGTACAGGCAGAAACAGTACAGGCAGAAACAGTACAGGCAGAAACAGTACAGGCAGAAACAGTACAGGCAGAAACAGTACAGGCAGAAACAGTACAGGCAGAAACAGTACGGGCAGGAACAGTACGGGCAGGAACAGTACGGGCAGGAACAGTACAGGCAGAAACAGTACCGGCAGAAACAGTACCGGCAGAAACAGTACCGGCAGAAACAGTACCGGCAGAAACAGTACCGGCAGAAACAGTACCGGCAGAAACAGTACCGGCAGAAACAGTACAGGCAGAAACAGTACAGGCAGAAACAGTACAGGCAGAAACAGTACAGGCAGAAACAGTACAGGCAGAAACAGTACAGGCAGAAACAGTACCGGCAGAAACAGTACCGGCAGAAACAGTACCGGCAGAAACAGTACCGGCAGAAACAGTACCGGCAGAAACAGTACCGGCAGAAACAGTACCGGCAGAAACAGTACCGGCAGAAACAGTACCGGCAGAAACAGTACCGGCAGAAACAGTACCGGCAGAAACAGTACCGGCAGAAACAGTACCGGCAGAAACAGTACCGGCAGAAACAGTACCGGCAGAAACAGTACCGGCAGAAACAGTACCGGCAGAAACAGTACCGGCAGAAACAGTACCGGCAGAAACAGTACCGGCAGAAACAGTACCGGCAGAAACAGTACCGGCAGAAACAGTACCGGCAGAAACAGTACCGGCAGAAACAGTACCGGCAGAAACAGTACCGGCAGAAACAGTACCGGCAGAAACAGTACCGGCAGAAACAGTACCGGCAGAAACAGTACCGGCAGAAACAGTACCGGCAGAAACAGTACCGGCAGAAACAGTACCGGCAGAAACAGTACCGGCAGAAACAGTACCGGCAGAAACAGTACCGGCAGAAACAGTACCGGCAGAAACAGTACCGGCAGAAACAGTACCGGCAGAAACAGTACCGGCAGAAACAGTACCGGCAGAAACAGTACAGGCAGAAACAGTACAGGCAGAAACAGTACAGGCAGAAACAATAGGCAGAAACAGTACCGGCAGAAACAGTACCGGCAGAAACAGTACCGGCAGAAACAGTACCGGCAGAAACAGTACAGGCAGAAACAGTACAGGCAGAAACAGTACAGGCAGAAACAGTACAGGCAGAAACAGTACAGGCAGAAACAGTACAGGCAGAAACAGTACAGGCAGAAACAGTACCGGCAGAAACAGTACCGGCAGAAACAGTACCGGCAGAAACAGTACCGGCAGAAACAGTACCGGCAGAAACAGTACCGGCAGAAACAGTACCGGCAGAAACAGTACCGGCAGAAACAGTACCGGCAGAAACAGTACCGGCAGAAACAGTACCGGCAGAAACAGTACCGGCAGAAACAGTACCGGCAGAAACAGTACCGGCAGAAACAGTACCGGCAGAAACAGTACCGGCAGAAACAGTACCGGCAGAAACAGTACCGGCAGAAACAGTACCGGCAGAAACAGTACCGGCAGAAACAGTACCGGCAGAAACAGTACCGGCAGAAACAGTACCGGCAGAAACAGTACCGGCAGAAACAGTACCGGCAGAAACAGTACCGGCAGAAACAGTACCGGCAGAAACAGTACCGGCAGAAACAGTACCGGCAGAAACAGTACCGGCAGAAACAGTACCGGCAGAAACAGTACCGGCAGAAACAGTACCGGCAGAACAGTACGGCAGAAACAGTACAGGCAGAAACAGTACAGGCAGAAACAGTACAGGCAGAAACAGTACAGGCAGAAACAGTACAGGCAGAAACAGTACCGGCAGAAACAGTACCGGCAGAAACAGTACCGGCAGAAACAGTACCGGCAGAAACAGTACCGGCAGAAACAGTACAGGCAGGCAAACAGTACAGGCAGGAACAGTACAGGCAGGAACAGTACAGGCAGAAACAGTACAGGCAGAAACAGTACAGGCAGAAACAGTACAGGCAGAAACAGTACAGGCAGAAACAGTACAGGCAGAAACAGTACAGGCAGAAACAGTACAGGCAGAAACAGTACAGGCAGAAACAGTACAGGCAGAAACAGTACAGGCAGGCAGGAACAGTACAGGCAGGAACAGTACAGGCAGGAACAGTACAGGCAGAAATAGTACAGGCAGAAACAGTACAGGCAGAAACAGTACAGGCAGAAACAGTACAGGCAGAAACAGTACAGGCAGAAACAGTACAGGCAGAAACAGTACAGGCAGAAACAGTACAGGCAGAAACAGTACAGGCAGAAACAGTACAGGCAGGAACAGTGCAGGCAGGAACAGTACAGGCAGGAACAGTACAGGCAGAAACAGTACAGGCAGAAACAGTACAGGCAGAAACAGTACAGGCAGAAACAGTACAGGCAGAAACAGTACAGGCAGAAACAGTACAGGCAGAAACAGTACAGGCAGAAACAGTACAGGCAGAAACAGTACAGGCAGAAACAGTACAGGCAGAAATGGTACAGGCAGAAACAGTACAGGCAGAAACAGTACAGGCAGAAACAGTACAGGCAGAAACAGTACAGGCAGAAACAGTACAGGCAGAAACAGTACAGGCAGAAACAGTACAGGCAGAAACAGTACAGGCAGAAACAGTACAGGCAGAAACAGTACAGGCAGAAACAGTACAGGCACTGGGGGAAGTGAAGTAGCCATCTGGGGGGGGCGGAGGGAAGACGGAGAACAGCCAATGGTTGCTGAGGAATGGAAGATGTGACATGGGATGGGGCGAGTGAAAACGCTATCCGGCACTAGAGATATACAACTCCCCTTCGATTTGAATTACCATAGTCAGGGTGGTATAGTCCCAGCGGTGGAGTTTCCACAGGAGCAGACGCTGTGATGCCCATGGGAAGCAGGTACTCATTCGCGAGGTACAGGAACATGTTGACCACGTTGACTGCATTGACCAATCCGAAGTCAACTCACCATAGTCAGGGTGGTACAGCCCAAGTGGGGGAGTCTCCACGGGAGCAGAAGCCGTGATGCCCGTAGGAAGCAGGTACTCATTGGCGAGGTACAGGAACATGTTGACCAGCCCGCCCTGGTTCAGCTCACCATAATCAGGGTGATACAGCCCAAGAGGCGGAGTCTCCACGGGAGCAGCGGCAGTGATCCCCGTTGGCAGCAGGTACTCATTCGCGAGGTAGAGGAACATGTTGACCACGTTGACCAGCCCGCCCTGGTTCCAGTACCCATACACCGTCAGCCAGTTGCGCAGGTCCCGCGCGCGCTTGCCCGGGATGAAGCGCAGCAGCTTGGGGCCGATCTTGAGGAAGCTCAGGTACCCCACCATGCGGTCCTCCTCCCGCCCGCCGCCGAACTTGGAGAGAACGGCTTTTACCGGGGCGGGCATGCCCTGGCTCTTGCCACCTGCCATGGCGAAGCTGGGCAGAAACGTTGGGGAGGGGAGACCATGGAGAGGGGAATTTGGAGCAATTTGTGGGCAGCACAGCCCTCGGGGGATGAAGCGCAGCAGCTTGGGGCCGACCTTGAGGAAGCTCAGGTACCCCACCATGCGGTCCTCCTCCCGCCCGCCTCCAAACTTTGACAGCACCGCCTTTACTGGGGCGGGCATGCCCTGGCTCTTGCGACCTGCCATGGCGAAGCTGGGAGTCGAAGGGAGAGGGGGAAGAGGAGTTGAGAGAGGGAGAAGTCAGAGAGGAAAATTTGGAGGGATTCGTGAGTGGTGCAGTCTATTGGGGATGAACGGTACATGGGATGCACCGTGTCAATGCATGCATGCACAGGGTATGTGTGGTGGGGTGTGGTACCTGCCGAGGGTGGTCATGGCCATGAGCTCGAGGGATGACTCGAAGATGAGGCGGATGGGGATGCTCTTGATGCGCTGCTGCAGCCACTCGCACTGCCAGCCGTGTGCGGGGGAGAAGAAGGGAGATGTGGGATGAAATGTGGTAGGGGGGGAAGAGTGCACAAGTTACGTGATTGCTGGTTGGTTGCTATTGTATACAACCAACCATGTGGGGCAGAACATGGATGACAGGAGAGAAAGGAAAGAGCACTGAATAAAGAGAGCTTTCTGCTTGAGGCAAAACCGGTTGACAGGTGTGTCTGACTGACTGGAACTCAAATTTTCGCATTGAAGACCTGAGACGACAGGCACACCTCATCGTAGTCGAAGATAAGGCTGCCGAAGAACACATCTGCCCGTGCCAGTGCTGCCTCCATCTGCCATGCTCACATGCACACGCACACGCACGCACGCGGCACACGACGGGAGAGAAGGAGCGAGGGATGTTGAGGGGCTTGACAATAGGACTGGTCTAGGAAGTAGAGTCAGTGCTGTGGCTGGCATGTGTTAGCGAAGAGCAGCACACGCAGAGGCAGCAGCACACAAAAGCAGTTGGAGCAAACATTGGGTTGTTGACCCACCTCTCTGCTCTTAGAGAGAATGTCCCGATTGGAGAAGACAGAGAGGCGGATGCCTGCATGGGACAGTACAGGTGAAAGAAGCGCAGTTAGATCATCGCGCACGTGAATAGCAGCACACGGGTCAGAACCACTGACACTCATGCACTCTCTCAAAGCCACATCCTTACCCCTGCTGCCCAATCTCAATCCTTGCATCCCATCCCATTTCCCCCCACCCGACCCTTGTGATGCATCTTCCCCACATCCATGCCCCTGCCCAACTCAGCTGCGCATCCACGCACCAGGGCACTTGGCGCGCAGCTGAGCCGCAGCCTGCTTATAGAGCGCCACATTAAACGACTCAAAGCCCGCCACCAGCACTATGCTCGCCACCTTGCGATCCACCTTCGCGCCCAGCCCAGGGATCACTGCCGCTGGGCCCTCCGCCTCTGAATCCGACGCTGATGAGGACTCCTCCATGGGCTGTGCACAGGAGGGACGGGGTGGGAGCGAGGGGAGATGGGAAGACAGTGAGGGATGCAGTGCGGGAGTCCTGCGCTCCCCCTTTACGCCCAGACCAGGGATTACTGCCGCTGGGCCCTCCGCCTCTGAATCCGACCCCGATGATTCCTCCATGGGCTATGCACAGCACAGTGGGGAAGGGGTGGGGGCGAGGGGGAGAGGGAAGACAGTGAGGGATGCAGTGCGGGAGTCCTGCGCTCCCCATTCGCGCCCAGCCCAGGAATCACTGCTGCTGGACCCTCTGCCTCTGAGTCCGACACTGATGATTCCTCCATGGGCTGTGCAGCGGAGGGGGGGATGGGAGACGGACGACAGTGAGAGATGGAGTGAGGGAGTCCTGCGCTCCCTCTTCGCGCCCAGACCAGGGATCACTGCTGCTGGGCCCTCTGCCTCTGAGTCCGACGCTGATGATTCCTCCTCCATGGGCTGTGCAGGGGGGGACGGGGTGGGGAAGGGGAGATGGGAAGACAGTGGGGGGTGCAGTGGGGGAGGGGGGAAGGCAGTGGGGGATGGAGGAAGGCGTGGGGTTGGGACGGGCGGGGAGAGTGTGAGGTTGGATCTTAGGGCGGGGAGAATGGGGTGGGGGTGAAGGAAGGTAGGGGGGTCAGCGGAAGTGGCAGAAGCCTTTCCTTTCTACGTGAGAGCCAGACGGCGGAGAGTCTGATGCAGATAATAGAGCAGGAAAGCAGGGTGGCAAGCCAGAAAACGACCTCGAAAGCATGAGTCGCCAGGGAAGGCAGTAAGCGCGGCGAGCGAAGGGGATATTCAGAGAAATTCGAGGGAGCGACAGAGGGAGGGAGGGAGGGCGGAGGGGGCGAAATAGGGGCGGAGTGTGAGGAGGGCCGTACAGCAGCGGCAGCAGCGCGGGCCTCTTCCAGCTGGTCCAAGAGCGCCCTGAGCTCCTGCCGCGTGCGATCACGCCTGAGCGCCAAGCTGTGCACGTCCCTCTGGAAGGCTGTCCACTTTGCCCGGTCCACCGACTCTGATGTGTGGGAGTGGGGGAGGGAGGGATTGGAGGAGTGAAACATAGCGACCACATACTGCACCGTTAGAAATGAGTGTAAGATTGGCTAGCTGTCTTTGAAAACTCGCGCGCTAGTATTAAGTTGATGACGTTTGCGAACAAAATCAGAGTTGATGTTCATGCCACATAGCTCCAAGGTCAGAAGGAGTGGGTCATGGATGGATGCTCTAAGCCTGATTCCGCGTCTGGTGAGGGAATGATGAAGCCAGTGAACATTCAGCAGTACGATTCCTCCACTTCACCAATCAGCGCCTTCAACACGGATGGCTCTGAACGGCCCAGATTTCCCCACGCCTCCTCATCCATGCTCTCAAACACGCGCAGGGGAACGTCATCCGCAGCAGCAGAAGCAGGCTGTTGGTCCTCCACTTCCTCCTTGCCTTCCGGTTCGCCTGCTCGTGATGCCTCTGGTGCAATCTCCACGCCAGAGAACGTCTCGGAATAGAGCTTGTCAATCTCAGCCTGCAGCTCATGACGGCCACATGAGCAACGGGGACTAATAACTCAAGCACGCATTTTCTTATTTTTCTTCGGCATACTCACCCTTTGCAGCTTACAGCAAAAATAAATAAATAAACAAATATATGAATATATTAGAACAAAATCAAACAGACAAACAAAAACTGGATATTTATAGATCTCTTACAGACAACTGGAAGGGAGTTGAAGTAAGGGAGCGTGTGACTATCTCGGATGAGTAGATATACCTGTAGTTGCTCCAGCACGCGTTGCTTCGCGTCCACTTTCCCCTCCAGCTCCTTAACGCGCTTCTCTCCCTCTTCTACCGCCAGCAAGAACGACTCCGTGCGACTCTGCTGCGCCTGCGACCCGCTGTCGTCGCCTATCGCAACCACGTCATCCCTCGCTAGAACGGATGTGACTGTAACGAAGCGAGACGACGTGGAGCGATGAACGGTGAAAGCGGAAGTGGAAAACCGAAGTGCGGAGATGCTTCCTGGAAGGAGGTCTGACCGGAGATGGTTGCGGCGACGGGCTGACACGCGTGCGATTCGAGCTGGACTTATGGTCAAACCGTCATTCCTAGAGCAAGGTGCACGGAAAATGCTAGAAGCGTGCTGGATTCCTGACGCTGCTAGTGCAGACTGCGCCAGGGCGAAACTCGCCATGGCTGACAGGCCTTCAATGTATTCTCAGTATATTGCCAAGCTGATGTCCTGAATCTTCGCGTGCGCAATAATATTTTTAGTGCGTGCTAGAACAACAGAGAGCCAATTTTGGAACTTGTAATTGAGACAAGATTGCAGTAGGTGACGAGTTGGAAATGTGATTTCACAGCACCAGCCCAAGAAGGCTACCGCGGCGCAGTCTGATAACCCTCGATGAACAATGGCTGCCTGGATTCGACCATGCGGACAGCACAGCACAGCACCGCACAGCACAGCACAGTACAGCAATGCTTGAGAATAAGCTGCTGAATAAGGGCGCGTGTCTTTTGAAATTTGGGCCAAAGTTCATGTTTTTTACTCGAATTTTTATGTTTGAACTTAGGTCGACCTGTACTCGAATATCTCATTTTTTTAGTCCGAGCCGCGAATGCCCACTTCATCAAAAGCACGAGGCACACCAAAGTTCAAGTACGAAGTTCAACTTTCTACACTCACAACCGAATCGCTTACAACATCAGTAGGTTACCCGGTTCTCACGCCTTGACGGCGCGCCACGTATGAATGTGGCGACTCGACGACACGAGGGCTACAAATAGCCCTCGTGTCCAACCTACAATTCATATCATTATTCCAGCCATGACAAATTTCACGGACCGCGAATACAGAATAGCCGTCGTGGCAGAATGGGCATCTTCGTGCCACGTAAAGTTCTGACGTGGCTGTTCGTGACGTCGGTATCCTCGTTCCCGCTTCGTGTGTGCGCACGAAGCGATTTGCGACGGTCGCGCATTTCGCATTTGCTTGAATCATGCTCAGGAGGACACACGTTCGTCCAATCGTGAGGGTTACGCATTCGAACGTGGGTTCGACCTGGGTTTTGTTTCCTCCAACTTGAACACTGTCATAGTGGACACACGATTGTCGCAAAGACCGCCTTGCGAAATTTGCGAAGCGGGTTACCAGCAAAAGTTCGAGCTTATTTTCGAACCTCTACACCAAAAGACACGCGCCCTAATGAGATTCCCTCGGAATGAGAAAAATCGCTTTGCAGGGCTGAAGAATGAAGGGCTCGACGAAACTGAAGAGGCATGGAAAGGTTGGAATTTGACTTCGGATGCGGTTCAGAGCGATGTGCTTGTAAAGATTGTGCTCGGCGCGCAAAATTTCATGGCAAACTCGACAGTCCCCAGAACGTATTTTCATTATTTCACTGTATGGTATTTTCACTGAACTGTATCAGCTCCGCGCCCATGGGAATCGAAACTTCGAAGCCCCTTGAAAGCTCCACGTACACGTACCCCACAAGCTTTCCCAAGCAGAAAGGCGGGTACGCGGTATAGAGATGTCGGTCATCTGAATCTTGTTTGGCTTTCCAGCGATGCACATGGAGCACTCACAGCTCGCCACGACACAAAAACTCAATTGCGGAACATGTACACGTGGAAATTTTGCCACAATCACCTCTCCACAATCACAGGCCGAATGCCATTCTTGTTCAAATCCACTCTTCACCAAAATTTGCCCCTTCAAAACAAGCAATCAGCAACAGGCAACAGCGTTCTCATTTTACACAAGCAGGTCACCCGCTAGCTGCAGCAGCGCAATTTTGCGTTGGTTTAGCCGAAGTGAAATCGCGACGCGTAGTATCCTTCTCCGCTCTCAACTAGCTTTCGCGGCCGCAGCATTGCCTAATTATCGTCGAACTTCCGAACGTTGACTTTCACAAACAAAATGTTGTCTGTCAGCCGTGTCCCAACAGCCACCACAGCCCCCACCATCTCACCCTCCTCTCCCTCGCGCTCCCTTGCCTCACAGCGGCCCTCTCCTGTCGTCGTCGCGAACCGCTCTCAACCTCGCAATATCGCAATCAGAAGCCGCCTAGTTCACCACGCGCACCTGCAGCAGCATCGGTCTCCGTCAGTCGCGCCTTTCCTCGACCGCTCGCTCCTCTTACCGCTCCGCACTCGCCGCCTTTTGCAATCCGCCACAAGCGCGCATGGCGCGCACTGTCAGCGACGAGCGGTGCCGTGCCGAGCCAGCGGGTCGAACGGCGGGGAGGAGCGGAAAGAATACAGGTACGAGCGCGCGGGCACTGGTGGTGGGACGGATGCGTGCATTGGCAGGATGGGTGCAGATAGAAATTATACAGAATTCAATCCCTCTATCCGGTCTCGTCGCTTTCACTACATCCCGCTTGCACTGCACACTCCTCCAATCCCCCTCCTCCGCCTCCTTTCGCCGCCCTCCCCCTCTCCGTCGGTTCCGCGCAGCCAGGAGGCGCGCATGCGGCAGGAGGTGCTGAACCCGTTCCGCACGGTGCGCATGTTCCTGTACGGCGCGTTCATCGCCTCCGCGTCCGTCGGCGCGCTCATCACCGCCACCTCGCTGCTCGCCATCGCGACCGGCGCGCGCGACGCGGACGCGCTGCAGGTCCAGGACTCCCTCAAGGACCTCGGGGTTGACGTGGCGGCTGTCGCTCTATTCGCGTTCCTGTACCGGTGAGGCAAGGGAAAGCGGAAAGATGAGTTGAAATAGGAACAAGGAAGGAACCAACTAATCATCGAGAGGAATGCTGGGTTGAAGAAGGAACAAAAAGGATTCAACCAGTTATCAAGGGAAGTAGAAGACTGTTAACTGCAATTAGAGCTTCTCACTAGGAAAGTCGGCCTGGCCCAGCTGCAGGGCTCCTGCCGCCTCATCATTGTCGCCGGCCCCCTCTCCCACGTGCAAGCAGCTCTTGCTGCTGCCAAGCCGTACTGTCAGTCAGTCTCACCCAGCTGCAGGGCTCTGAGTCGACTCAAATCTTTCCTACTCCTCATCCCTTCCCACCCCACACCCCAAGGTCGGATGCGCGGGGCAAGGACGCATCCCTGAACCGGCTGACTCGGAAAGAGAACCTGGCAAAGCTGCGCCTGGAGCTGCCCACGGGGCGAATCGTCAGCCTCGACCAGCTGCCGGGCTCTGAGTCGACCCCAAACTGTCCCCATCCTCATCCCTCCCTTCCCATCCTTTCCCGTTCCAAACCCCAAGGTCGGATGCGCGTGGCAAGGACGCATCTCTGAACCGGCTGACTCGGGAAGAGAACCTAGCAAAGCTGCGTCTGGAGCTGCCCACGGGGCGAATCGTCAGCCTGGCCCAGCTGCAGGGCTCCTGCCGCCTCATCATTGTCGCCGGCCCCCTCTCCCACGTGCAAACCGCCCTTGCTGCAGCCGAGCCGTACCGCGCTGCACTGCTGGAGCGAGCAGTGGTGGTCGCCCCGCTTGTGACTGTGGGTGCGGAAGCAGGGGCGGCGGTTTCTGGGAATGTTGTGCTGCCTGGGGATTTTAAGGGGTTTGCGGAGGTGGTGGACCCAGCTTGGGGAGTTGAAGTGGCTGCGGATGGTGGAAATGCAGGGAAGGTGGAAGAGGTAGGTGGTACTTCACAGGCTGCTACAGCTGCCAGTGGGTTGCTTCAGAGGTGGATGGGCAGGCCAACTTACACTGATGAATGGAACAGGTGAGAATTGCAGTCATTAGTGGGTAGGCAGCCGGAAAGCTGTTGCGTTGCATTGGTTGTTTAATTGCTCTGATTGAGAAAGCTTGCTTTCTTTCTTATCAATTGGCATCGTTCTCATTACAAATGGCGTATTACAACATTTGTATCATCATTCGACACAAGCTAGTGCGGACTAATAACGCTAGCTAGGATATACCCTATCCAAGTGGCATTAGCAAGGCGGTTTACTCTGGGGTGGGTGGTGGGAATGTTGAGTGAGCCGTTTGAAAATTGAGAAACGTGGGTGGAGGGAAATGAGCTCCAACCCACGGTTTTTGTAGTTGGAGAAGGGCGTTTAGCGCGCTTCGACGATGCCAATTGTGCAGTACAAGCAGCTTCGCTTTCACAATACACAATTTTAAAAAACACTACATGTGTGTTTAAAAATTATAAATTTTCGCCTTTTGCAGATGGTTGAAGGAGCAAATGAAGTTCGCCAATGTGGCTCCAGGCTCTCCCGTGTGAGTCCACAAGTCTACCTTTTCCTGTATTCTGCATTGAGAAAGCTTGCTTCTGTCGCAATTGGCATCGTTCTCATTACAATGGGTTCAAGTACAACAGTTCCTAGCAGTTATACTAATATACTATCACATCCAAAATGTCTAAGAACTACTACTCTCATAAGCTGACAAGCCTGGGGAGGGTGGGTGGGAATTGAACTTGAGCGATTGTAAAATGAGAGACGTGGGTGGGGGAAGAATGACCCCAGCCCACATTATATATTCGGAGAAGGCGAATACCGCGCTTCGACGATGCACAAATTGCGTTACAGTCAGCTTCGCTTTCACAATACGCAAATTTGAAAGCGATAAAACGCTTAAATTATTTTTATATTTATACATTCCTATCAAGTGATTGTTTATCTGCTAATTTTTCCTGAGTTCACTGCGCTGACTTACGTCCACTACATTTACTCTGGCAGGTACATATCTCTACGACTAGATGGGCGTGTGCGAGCTAGTGGAGTGGGATATCCTCCCTGGAGTGTGATCGCTGCTCAATTGCCTCCCATGAAGGGAATGTGGGCTGGCCCACTTGATGGAATGGATGGCCGGGTTTTGTAATTGGATTTTTCATTGCAATACAATTTGAGCTTTTCATGATAACGTCCCTAAATTGTAGATTTGAAACTGGCAGTGTACAATGCTGAAATTCGGATGCTAATGCGGAACCCCACTTGACCCGGCGGAAACTCGACGAACTCCGTTACCGTGCCGTCCAAGCAAAAGCCGCTTCGATGATGGTCATTGGTCACATGACCCACATCCCTGCCATGCTGGAACGGATCATTCACAACAGACATGACTGATGACAACTCGCGAACATACCATGCGGTGTGGTTACCGCTATGCTCTACTTCCTCGCACGTCCCCCAACCTTGCTCAACACTGACATGAAACCCTAACAGCAACGAAAAACAAGCAGAGAAACTAATTTCAAGGCTCGCTCAGTTCTAGTGTTCGAATCCTGTTCTAGTGATTTCTGCTTGCCTCGTAGCCTCTTCCTTGTTCTAGTATCATCTTGTCACCATGGAAGCCGCTCACGCTGTCGACACGCACCTCATGAAGAATCAGGGTCATGACCTGGAGGCGGGCCCGTCGTCCGATCTTCTTTACCCAGGAATTACGCTGTCGGAGAATGAGATGCGATGGGGATTTATTCGGAAGGTATGCTGCGTATGTTGTATATGCTGCGTATGCTGCATGCCGAACGTCTTTTGCGGCAGGCTCGCTGTTATTCTTTTTCTGTGGCCGTTATGGACGTCGTTGCTCGCTGCGTTTTTTTTGCTAGTCCACGTGGCTTCATCTATTGCGCGACTGGCATATGCGTCTTGTGTAGTAACACCCTTCACAATGGGCCGAAGCGAAGGCGCGCGATGACACTAGTGTGCTTTAAGCATGTCATTTAGTGAAATTCACTCACTACTTCCGGCACCGGCAGGTCTACGGCATCATTGGAGCACAACTCCTGCTAACCGCAGCCGTCGGATCCTGCTTCGCTCTCATCCCATCCGTCCGCGAGTTCGGCCTGACCAATGGATACTTCATGTTCTTCGCCACCATCCTACCCTTCGCCAGTACGTTTCTTCCTCTCGCTCCACTCAGTCAGTGCGTCTGTTGCCTTCCGTTCACGTCCTTCGCTTCAATTTTCGTCGCCTCCTTCCCGCAAATGTTCGATTCGTGTCTGGTTATCTCTTTGCTTAGTTATTTGTGACGGTCGATTTTATCAGCCAGATAGGACGGCTCTGTTTGTTTACGATGAGCCTCGTAAGATTTCCTCGTACGTCCTTCCTCTGTTCTGTGCGCAGCGCTCATTCCGCTCGTCATTTACCGGTCTCGCCATCCTCTCAACCTAGCCTTGCTCGCAGTCTGGGTACGTCATCTTGGCACGTAATGTGCATGTTTCTCCGTTCCCTACTTTCGCGTACGGCTTTCAACTCCCGCTGGTGACTCGTTTTTTTTTTTTTTTTCTCGTTTTGCGCTTTCTGTCTGACGACAGAGCCCTTTCCTTCCATTGTCCTCACTCACACCGCTCTTCCCCCCTTCCCCTCTTTCCCTCTTCCCCCCCCTTCCCCTCTTTCCCTTCTTCCCCTCTTCCCCCACCCGCTATCTCACCCCACTTCTTTCCGCGTCTCCCCCCCCCCCCCGTGCGTCTGACTTTGCAGACAGCGTGTATGAGCATGACAGTGGGCCTCATTTGCAGCATGTACAGCGGTAAGTGTCGCACTTGGTTTCCTGCGCTGTGTGACGACAAGGGGGGGATTGAATGCGATGAGGAGGGATTATGGGGTGGGGTGGGTGGGGTGGGGTTTGACTGGGAAGGGTGGGAAGGGTTCCGATGTGTGCTCCGTTCAAGCCCTCTCCGCTTTCAACCTAGTGTATCCTTCTCGCACGTCGTTTCGTTCCAGCACATATACAGAACCTCTTTGATTGTCCCCCTTTCTCCACTTTCCCACCCCCCGCTCCCCACTCCCCCCTCCCCCCTCCCCCCCCTTCCCCCCACCCACCCACCTCTTTGACTACCTCCCCGTTTTTATCGCTTTCTGTCCTTTCTGAAGCTCCCTTCATCCGTGTGCCCGTTTCTGGTTATAGATATCAATGTACTCATTCGTACTCTTTGCTCCCTCCTCCCCACCTGCGTGCTTCCTCCTTTTGCCTGCTTCCCCACCTGCCTGCTTCCCCACCTCCCTGCTCCCCACCTGCCTGCTTCCCCCCATCCCTGCTCCCCACCTGCCTGCTTCCCCACCTGCCTGATTTTTTTTCCTGCACCAGGGCCCATAGTGGCCGAGGCTCTCGGTCTGACAGCTTCAGTGGTGCTGGGGCTCACAGCGTACACCTACTATGCTGTCAAGAAGGGACAGGAGTTCAGGTGCGCTCTCGCCCCCATTTTCTCTCGCTCTGCCGCACACACTCACTTTGATTGTTTTCCATTCCTTTCCTGCCTCCATTGCTTTTCTTTACCCTCCCCCCCCTCCTCTCCCCCTCACGTTTCTCTCCCCTCTCCCCTTTCCCTTCACTTCCCCCCCCCATCCCCGTGCTCCATTCTCTTTCCTCCCTTTTTTCTAGCTACCTGCGCCCTGTGCTGTACACCAGTCTCTGGCTACCTCTCACTCAGCAGTCGCCCACCCGTGTGCATCCCTCCCTTTTGTTGTGCCCTCGTCCTGCCCTGCGCCAGCTACCTGGGTCCTATGTTGTACGTCAGTCTCTGGCTGCTGCTCGGCTGGTCCTTTATCCAAATCTTCTGGGGCCTTGGCAGCGAGTGAGTCTCAGACCCAGCTCTTTAGCGTCTTCATTTGCATAACTAGTCAGTTAGTGTTACACTTGCAGACCTTTGTCCGTGTTCTTGTACATAAAGCAAGTATTTGTTCCGTTCTGTTGTTCTGTAATCTGTTGTGTTACTTGCTGCCCTTGACAGTGCTTACACTTGTGTTGAGTTTCATGCATCTCTTTCCTGCTATCTCCTTGCCGGCCTGTGTGTGTTCCCCTTGTGCAGGTTCGCTCTGGCTCTGGTGGGTGCTCTCATCTTCGCCCTCTTCATTGTGTACGACACCGACCTTATTATCAGGCGTAAGTAACCATTTTATTCTCACACATTGCGCGATGAAATGATCTCACAGTACTTGAGCTGGATCCCTAGTTCACATGTCTGGCTGCAGTGATATCTTCATTTGAGCTTGCATTTACTTACTCCCTCTACATGTTCTGTTCCATGTGTTTGCAGGGTACTCGTATGACGAGTATGTGATGGCGAGCCTCAACATTTATCTTGACATTATCAACCTCTTCATTCGCATGCTCGAGATCCTACAGTACCTGCAGGGTAAGGCTCCCTTATGCTGTTTTAGAGTTCGAGTTTTTGTTGTGTTAGTGCACATCCATTCCCACGAATCTGTTTTGGTCAGTCAGTCCTTGTGATTTTCGGTCGCACTGACCTTGACTTTTTAGCATGTGCAGGCAACAACTGATAGAAGAGTTTTTAGACGGGCATGAAGTGGTGTATATTTGTTATTCTATGTGTAGGCTGTTATTGTGATGTCGTTATTGTGATGTCATGTTGCACTGGGATCTAGTTTAGCTTATTATGCTGTGACCTAGTACACAGGTGGCGAAGAGATGCAAATATAGCAAGTACCCAGTATATGTGTTTTTTTTTTCGCAAGCGTAATTCTTGTACACGTCAAATATTAGGGCACCGCTGTCGAAAATCCCGTTGTGAACTGGCCGCGTCTCGGGGTAGCAATTATTGGTGGTGATGTGGATGAGCGATGCGAATATAATGTAATACGATGCGATAAGATGGAATGGGATGGAAATGGGGTGAGGGATGGTTTCGGATGGGTTAAGGTGTTTGATCTTGACGCATGGGTGCATAGGTGCATAGTTATCCATGTTGATGATGGTTCAAACCTCAAGGCTAGGCAGGAATCCCTCCCTCTTACGTGTAGTGTACTCGGGAGCTGGGATTCGGAAACTCTTTCACGAAGTCCGAGACAAAGTTCCTAGGACATAGCAGGCTCCACCGTTCTTGACGTCTTCTTGTCACGGCCATTGCTGCACCGAAGCTCGTTGTGTGGGTTCTTCTAGATTGATCAGTCTTTTTTTCATGCCTTGGATTTGTCCGTGACTTCACGGCATAGTATCAGTCTCGCGTGCTCCCGACCCTGCTTAGTCACAGAAATGCTTCCGACGAGGTTTGCCAGGATCCCATGTAATTTATCCCGCGTCGCAGCATCTTGCTCATGAGTAGGCTCCGGGGTTCTAAGTTATCTATTGAACGTATGAGATTCGCCAAGCGGCGATGGAGCTAGATTCGGCCGTCGCACTGAGTGCCACATCAGCGGCACGTAACAGCGCAGCTCGCGCCGCCCCGCGCGCCGTGCACACCGGAGTGCGCTCGGTTCTCGAGGCGCCTCAAATATCGACTCTGTACACTAGCGGGATGCGCTCGCACCACCGCGTTCCCCGCTGGAATAGGTCCATTCGTCTAACCCGGCGGCCACCGGCCTTAATAGTAGCGCTACTCGTGGCCGTCGCTGTCTTGGGCAATGGCAGCAGTCTTGGCAGTAGCAGCAACCTGCCGCGCGAGACGCCCTGCTGTTCCCCGTCCTCTCACTCTACTCTCGCGCCTCTCGCGCGTCTCGCTACTGACGCGCATGACTCCATTCACGCGATTCAACGCTTCTCGCGTCGTCTTCTGCAAGAATCGCCCGCCTCGTCCCCTGGCAAGTCTTTTTCGCCGCGGATGGGCCCTGCGCCGCCTCTCCTCCTTTCCCCGTGCATGCGCGCTGCCGCAACCCTCTTGGTGCATGCGCGCTGCCCCACACCCCTCCCCGTGCATGCGCGCTTTCTCCCCTCCCCGCGCATGAGCCTCCCCCCCTCCTGTGCATGGATTCAACCGTAGTCCAAACTGTTTCATTGTCGAACAAAATTGATGTATTCCTTCTCAGTCTTTCCCTCCACATACTTTCCCTAATGCTTGTCTTCCAAATTTCCCCCATCCCCACGCCTGCGTCCCTTTCCTCTTCCAACTTACGCCCTTGCACGGCCTAACCTGTCAGATCAATCGAGTAGCCCTCTACAGTCCCGCCCTCTTTTCATAACGCTCATTGCCGCGTGTGCTGCACTCATCCTCGTTATAGCCAGTATCGGATTCTGCATGTGCTGCAGACAAGGTAAATTATTCTATTTGTTGCTGCTCTTGGTAGATGCATTGATTCTTATTGGTAACCCCATCCTTGTGATAATGAGTCTGTTTTGAAACGTCTCAAAACAAATCTATTTTAATGTGGATGCATTTTCTCTCGTGCTTGGTAACCCCATTTGCTTGTCTTGATGGTTTCTCCATTGCTGCTGTGTTGTTACTGCCCTCGCATGTCCTACTGCCTCTCCTCATATGGGCGATGGTTGCTGCCTCCCTGCCTGCCATGTGCTGCTGCTGCATGGTGTCAATCGTTTGAGTCGACTCAAAAACATCCTCATATGGGCCATGGCTGTCGCATGCCCGTGTGCCATGTGCTGCTGAAAAGAGATAAGCTTTTTTAATATTTTATTAAATCTGCACGTGGCAATTGGCGTGGCACGGCGTGCCATGGGGTGGCATGACATGGCATGGCATGGCATGGCATGGCACGTCGCGCGGCACGGCATGGATGGAATGGCATTATTTCCTATTGGCAGCAAGGAGAGCAGAGAGCAGCTTCGACGAGGCGTTTCTAGCAGACTACATTGCCCGCTCCGCCCACCACTACGACCCCTTGCTCAAGGTAAACCCCCTCCCCTCCTTTTGAGCCGCCACATTAGGCGTTTCTAGCAGACTACATCGCCCGCTCCGCACTCCAATATGACCCCCTGCTCAAGGTATATCCGCTGTTCCACTGCCGCCAGCCACTTCTTCACTCACTCCCTCCTACGTTCTCTCACTCCCTCCCACATTCTCTCACTCCCTCCTACATTCTCTCACTCGCCTCCTTACCAGCCTGCTCCTAATACCTCACTCTTTGATTTCCCTCTTTTACTCCCTGCACTGCTGATCGCCCATTCGTACCCTTCTCCATCTCCCTCAACCTGCCCCTTAACGCCCTGTTGTTCATCCCTTTCCCCATCCACACACCTTCCACACACTCCACTACTCCAGCTTGGTTCGGGCCAATTTGGAGACTCGTTCCCGTGCTCCGGACCAGATGGCGAGCCTTGGCTTGTGGTTCGGGCCACCATACCTGATAATTTGGCTGGTGCCACGTGGCTGCCTTGGACTGGCGCGGCTGCCAAGAAAAGAGCGTTCAACGAAGAGGTGAGTGATAAAGGGTCGGAGTGAGGGATACGTAGTGAGGGATAGGGAGTGAGGGAGAGTGAGTGAGGGAAGGGAGGGTGGTAGGGAGCAAGCAATCAGGAGTGACTCAAGCTAAAACAATCCCACTGGTTTGAAGCAAGAAATTCCATCTTCCATCATATTTCATTTCTCACCTTTCACCTCTTTCACCTCAACTCCTCAACACCCAACCACACATATGCCCACCCACACATGCCCATCCCACGCCACCCCACCCATGGCAGATCATCCGTTGCTCTGGTTTGTCGCATCCCCATCTGCTGCACCTGATTGGCTGGAGCGACCAGCCCCTGGGGCAGGCGGGTGGCAGCAGGCGGCTGAGGCAAGTGGGGGAGAGCATGAGGCAGTGGGCGCAGATACTGTGGCGGAAGAGAGGCGCGCAGGAGCAGGGGGACGGTGGGGGGTCAGGGAGAGGAGATGGTGTGGGATCAGGGCGAGGCGAGCGTGCGGGGTCAGGGCGCGGAGAGGGTGAGGGGTCTGGGCGAGGCGAGGGCGAGGGTGAGGGTTCAGGGCGAGCAGAGGGTGAGGCGTCAGGGGAAGCAGGGATGCAAGGCAGAGCAGTAGGGATTGCGGGTGGAGAGGAGGGGGAGGAGAGAGGGAAGGCGGGTGATCAATCTGTTGCTTCGTCTGATTGCCGAGTGGATGTAGGAGGAGAGGGGTTGGGGAAGGGATGGGATGGCGGGAAGGGCGGAGAGAGTGTAATGGAAGGGAGGAAGGGGAGGGTGAGGCGAACACAGTGCGCACCAGAACCAGGTGGGGGGGAGGCAGACGGTGGGGCGTGGGAGGCAGAGGGTGGGGGACGAAGAGCAGAAGCAGGAACATTATCAGTAGCAGGAGGAGGAGCAGAAGAAGCAGCAGGATCGGGAGCAGGAGCAGGGGTAGAACCGGCGTCGGCACCAGTGGGAGGGAGAGGAGGCAGTGGGGGGAGGGAGCTGCTGCTGCTGTATGAGTGGTCGGACCAGAAGACACTGTGTGCTCGCTTGCAGACACAGAGGGAGTTGATGCTGCAGGGCAGGGACAGCGGTAAGTACTCACGCCCCTTGCTGTGGCTCTTTGATATGATACAAAATAAGACTCGTTGTGGGGTTTGTGGATGTAAGCAGGTCAGTCATCGGGCACAAAAATTGCAGCGGCCCTTCCTTATGTAGGCCCGATGTGCTGCATGCGCACATGCACATTCACATACATGCTCACCACATTCCCTTCGCCCTCCCCTCCTCTCCCCTCACACCAGACGCACAGTCCCCCCTACCGCTGGCCTTCTCTCAGCGTCTAGACATAGCCACGGCTGTGGCAGAGGCACTGAGCTATCTGCACACAGTCGCGCAGCCAGCCTCTCCCTATGTTACCATCCCCTTACAATGTGCATACCCCCCATATTCCCCCCGTGCTACCCCAGACTCGCAGTCCCCCCCACCGCTGGCCTTCTCCCAAAGATTAGACTTAGCCACGGCAATCGCAGAGGCACTGAGTTATCTGCACACAGTCACGCAGCCCGCCCTGGTGCACCGCCTCGTGTCTTCCTCCTCTGTCTTCCTTGAAGTGCTGCCTGTGGTGAGTGCGTGCGAGATTTATGATGTTTCACTTTATATACATATAGATATACACATGTATATGGTGACTTTTGAGGCGCCTCAAAAGATGTGACACATGTATATGGTGCACAACATTATCTCGTTTTATGTGTCGCCACCCCTTGCAGGCCCGGCTGGCGAATCTCGGCATTATCAAGGGCCTACCCGGCTCTCCCTGCCTACTTCAGCAGTGCCACGTGGCAGCTCCTCATAGGGACCCGGATTGGTGGGAGCGCATATGGCCAACCCCCCGCACAGATATCTATGGGTGGGTATCTTTGTCTTCTTCCTCGTGCTTTCCCAGTGCGGTTCTTAATGGTGCATATGGGTTCAGCATTATGGCTTCCGCAATGTGCTTTCTGAGTGCAGTTACCTGAGTGCCTCTCTTCTCACTCTCTCCAGTCGTTGCTCTCCTCTCACCCCTCTCCTCTCTGCCCCCCCCCTTCCAGCCTGGGCATTATCATGCTAGAGCTGCTCTCAGGCTGTCCAGCCACCACCACGGACCAAGCCACTGCCAGCACCATATCCTTTGACGTGCAACAGGTAAGCCCCATGCTCATGGCTTTCGGGTGGGCCTCAAGCGAGGTGGGCCTCAGGTGGGCCTCACGTGGGCCTCACGTGGGCCTCACGTGGGCCACAGGTGGGCCTCAGGTGAGTTTCAGGTGGCCCTTCCACCGCCCCAGGTAGTCTAGGGTGAACCCCATGCTATCTCCCACTCCAGCCGTGCATCCTGTGATTGCTGCAGCCGCTTCCCCATGCTGACACCGCATACGCTTTGCAATCAAGCCACGCACCTCATGAAAAATCACCTGGAAGTCCCTGCATTCTACGTGCCTTCCTTCCTTGTACTAACCATTTTTTCCCTCAACAACCCTTCTCAATCGCCCACGTGTCCCCCACTGGCAACCCTCCTTCTAACCTCCTCTTTCCCTCTCTCTGCCCTCATACCTGCACCACCACTCCTCACCCCCAGATGTTAGACAGCATAGCAACAGACGATATTGCTACGGTGCTGGACCCCTCCATAGCCGCCCAGTCCATGCCAATTCGTCCCATCCGCTCCTTCGCCCGCCTCGCCGCCCGCTGCGCCGCCCCTGCCGCCCGCTCTCGTCCCGACATCAGCACAGTGGTATCAGAGCTGCAGGGGATCAGCCGCGCCATGATTCGACTCAGCATGGCCCGCACCACCGCCCACAACTCCTTTGTTTCGCGAGCAGACTCGTGCCTTGACTCTCCAGAAGGCTCTGAAGAAGATTCACCTGAAGATTCATCTGAAGGTTCACGTGAGGAGTTGCCCGAGGATTCACATGCCGGCTCGCCAGAGTTTCAAACACAAGAGCCAGTTGACCCATCTTGGAATGGCAGGGGGCAGTTTCAGAAGCTCGGGTGATCCTAATAAAGAAGGTGGCTGTAATGCTCTAGTGAAAGATTTTGGCTACTGAATACCCGAGTGACAATGTGCATTGCAGAGGCCTGTTGCAATCAATGTGCGAATATTTTGTATGTACCAACCTCATGGTTAATGTTCCTGGAGTGCCTGCCTAGGCGTAAAACCCTTTTGACTAGAACGCATATGAGTGTACCAGTGGATTTGCAAGCCCAGTCATTGGGGTGCCTGTGTTGGCATGTTACCAGCTAGTGTTCCTTTCCTGTATTTAGTGCCTGTCTGTGGTTAGAGGGCTTGGAAGTGCACGAGCCCTTTACACAAGCCCTGAAGTTAGTGTACTCAATTCTGCATGTCCTGTAGTTAGAGTGCTCAGTAATACAGGCCCTGTTGGTAGTGTACTCTATTCTGCAAGCCCTGTAGTTAGTGTGATTTCACAAGCGTGCTTGATTTTACCGTCCCTGAAGTTAGTGTGCTCGATTTTGTTGGGCTGAGATAGCCCCTTAGGATCTTTTCAGGGGAGAACTCTGGATAGGATAATGTTGTAACAGCGGAAGCTTAATGAAGGATTGTGAACCACCTTGCGCTAGTATGTGAGGGCAAAGTAGATTGATTATATTGAAGAAGTACAAGATTATATATTGATACAAGGAATATGAATGGATGCAGTTATAACTACTTTTACTGTTGCTGTTGCGGTTCGATACAATACTGTTAGAATCTAGCAGCAGGAATGGATGAACTAACAGGATGCAGGAGTACAAGTAGTAAACCCTAACTAGGTTGTACCCCATATGGGCTACCCCACTACAGCCTAGACAATATGCAGCACATATAGTTTGACACACCCCCATAGGCAAAGTGGGGGAGAACAAGGGGTCACACGACCAGTCAAGAGAAGCAAAACAAGCTCAGGGTGGATCACAACGTCACCACGCATTCTGAGCACAAGCAAAGGGCCACTGGGCCAGTTCACATGCAGAGATATATATGCAGCAATAACAGTACAGTGATGGCTACCTAGCAAGAGCCAGCATGCATATATATATATATATATATATATATATATATATATATATATGTACAGATCACAGTACAAGCAGAGACTACAGCAAGTGTGGAAACGTAGGCACAAGGCCTAACAGAGTACAAAAGCGCTGATGATCACCAGACGGAAGTGCCTTGGTGAATATGTCAGCAGTGTTGGCCCGAGTGGCCACGTGGCGAAGACGAAGCTGGCCTCGCTGCTGCAACTCTCGAGCCAGGAAGTACCGCAGAGCAATGTGCTTCGTTCTGTGCTCCAGTCTGTGCTCCTCACACAAGGCAATGGCGGCCTTGTTGTCAACGTACAGCACTGGAGGAGAACGAGGCTGCTCTCCCAAGTCAGTCAGCAGGTAGGTGAGCCAGCGTAACTCCTGTGCAGCCATGGCGGTGGCGTAGATCTCAGCCTCACAACTGGAGCCGAGAACTGAAGTCGAGCGTGTAGAACGCCACGAAACTGAACCAGAGCCAAGGCTGAAGGTGTAACCCTGTGACGACCGCTGAGTAGCCAGGTCGTCAACCCAAGAAGCGTCTGAGTGCCCAGTGAGGACAACTGGGCTCGTCCCTCCAAGCACTAGCCCCATGCCTGATGTGCTGCACAAGTAACGCAGTACCCTCTTAGCAGCAGCCATGTGCTCAGGTCGGTGCCGACCAGGAGCCACGTAGCGAGCCAGGAGACCAAGAGGGTACGCGAGGTCAGGTCGAGTGCAAGTCATCAGGTACATGAGGCAGCCGACTAGCTCTGGGTAAGGACCACTCGGCTCTACGGACTCGTCCGAAGGTGGAGCTGAGAGCGTGTGACCTGTAGCCAGAGGAGTGGCCTGTGCTGAAGACCAGGTGAAGCCGAAGCGCTGAAGGACCTGCTGCACCATGTGTGACTGAGTCAAGGTGATGGTGCGACGTGCTCTGTCTCGGGTGATCTGCAAGCCAAGGTAGCTGCGCAGCTCACCCAAGTCTGTGCACGTGTGTCTCTTCTGCAGCTCCGACTTCACGTGGGCGAGAGCCTCAGTGTCAGCAGTGGCAAAAACCAAGTCGTCGACATACACGAGGATGTAGAACGGCGGCAGGGAAGTGTCGGTGCGCAGAAACAGCGACGGGTCAGCAGTAGAAGGCGCAAACCCAAGAGCCGCAAGCGTAGTCCTCAGTGTGTCGTGCCACTCACGTGGCGCCTGGCGGAGACCGTAGACCGGCCGCCGGAGGCTCCACTGGGTACCAGGAGGGAACGACCCAGTGAAGCCCGGGGGGCGGCGCAGCCAGATCTCCTCGTGCAGGCTACCCTGCAGGAAAGCTGTGCTGAAGTCAAGAGAGTGAAGCTCGTAGTCACGGTGAGCAGCAACGTGCAGCAGCACCCGAAGAGTGGTCATCTTCGGAGTGGGGGAGAAGGTCTGGAAGAAGTCAACTCCCTCTCGCTGACTGAAGCCTCGAGCCACGTAACGCGCCTTGAAGACAGGCGGAGAACCCGGCGGCCGCTTCACCCTGAAAATCCACATGCCACTGACGATGTTCGCCCCAGGTGGGGGAACCTCGTCAACGTAGGTGCCTGTGGACTTCCAGGAAGCCATCTCTGCGTCCATGGCTGCCTGCCACTGAGAGGAGTAGGGACCCTCTATCGCCTCTGCGTAAGAGCGCGGAGTCGGGATGTCTGGTGCATCCGGGTCTCCCTCAGGGGCAAGTAGCGAGGACACAAGATGAGGTAAAGCAGCAGCAAGGCACTGGAACTCCTCCTGCCTGTCCTCAAGGACGTCCGTGCTAAGAGCACACTCACCCCCGACGGACGGAGGACAGACAGACGTAGACTCAGTAACAAGACTGGCAGTGAAGTCTAGACGACAGGCAGCAGCAAAGTCAACAAGCTCAGCGACAAGAGCAGACGCAGCAGCAGACTCAAACGACGGGTCAGTGACAACTGTGGCTAGTAGACGCGTGACAGTAGGGTGCTGAGCACGAAACCGGTCAGACGCAGGGTCCGGAACGTCAGGCAAAGAGGACGCAGGAGGAGACGGCAGAGGAACAGGCTGCGGAACAGAGGAAGGACGACGGACTACGAGGTGCGCGCTGGGGACAGCCGGCGGACGCGAACGAGGAACACGAGGACCGGTACGACCAGGACGAGCAGGCGAGACAGGACGCGACGCAGGCTCACGACGCACAGCAGGACTACCAGTCAGCTCAGCGTAAGGAGAAGGAGCAGGCAGCGGCGAGCCAGTCTGTAACGGAAGACCAGTAGACGACGGAAGAGTAAGAACCTGACGAAGAACAGAGGCAGACGGCGGCAGAGACGACGGAGACGGCGGAGCGAAGAACAGTTGTGTCGGTCCTTTGTCTACTGGAGGTACTGGAGTCGCTGGTTCTGGAGGGGCTCGTGCTGGAGACACTGAGGCTGGAGACCCTGGGACTGGAGGTGCTGGCTCTGGGGGTGCTGCTGCTGGAGACGCTGAGGTTGGAGACCCTGGAGCTGGAGGTGCTGGTTCTGGGGGTGCTACTGCTGGAGACCCTGCGGTTGGAGACCCTGGGACTGGAGGTGCTGGTTCTGGGGGTGCTGCTGCTGGAGACACAGAGGTTGGAGACCCTGGGACTCGAGGTGTCGGCTCTGGGCCTGGAGCTTCTGGAGCTGCTGGAGGTACTGGAGCTGCTGGAGGTACTGGAGCTGCTGGAGGCACTGGAGCTGCTGGAGCTGCTGGTTCTGGTGCAGCTGCGCCGACACGACCAGAGACCAGGGAGCGAGAGTGCATGCTACGCAGGCGAGGCAAGGAGGGGTGACCAAGGCGGTGGTGCCACAGGAGAGTGTCGTGCGACAAAGCGCGACACTCGCAGGGGGCCGCCAGCTGACCAGACGCAGACGCAAACGCAGACGCAGCTACCTGAGGGGACTCAGTGGTCAGTGTGTACAGACTCGAGCCAGGTGCACGGGTGAACGTGGCCAAGTGCCGGCCCGTCCTAGCACACGTACAGTGAGTCACTCGCTGACTCGCAGGAGTGAACTGGTCAACCCCCCCATCCTGGAGGTCAGCTCCACTCACCAAGTTCGTAGAGAACGAGGGGAGGTAAAGACCTGACAGCGAGCCGGACGGGACGGCCGGACACGGCAGAACCGTGGAATAGTGGGCAAGGACTGGACCCCCAGAGGGGTCCGCCAGGGAGACCGGGACTGGCCGACGGAGCGGCGTAAGTGCGGTGCAGTCGCGAAAGAAGGAGCGGGAAGCTCTTGAGTCAAGGGTGAAGGTGTGCGAGACCGCAGTGGGCGCAGTACCAGAGAGAGCAGACACAGCAGCACCTGATGCCACGGCCTCACCAGTACCTAGAGCAGTAGACGTACTAGCACCGAGAGCAGCAGCCTCACCAGCACCTAGAGCAGGAGACGCACTAGCACCTAGGGCAGCAGCCTCACCAGGGTCAGGCGGTACGCACAGGCAACAGGCACGGTCAGCACTAGTAGACAATGCATACATGGCAGTGAGAATAGCATCATAGTCAAGCGCAAAGATATCTACCCTCTGTCTATGCAGCTCCAGCCAGGTGGGGAGCTCAGCCTCGTCGCCAAACACTGTGCGCCAGTCGTCGCTCAGACGGGCGAAGCAGCGGGACTGTGTGTGACCAAGCGTCCCACAAGGCTGACCAGTCCTAGCACCTGTGCGAATGACGTACGGGCAGCGGACTGTACGCGTAGACCTGCTACACTGAGCGTACCACTCCTGGAGCTGCCGGGGCGTAAGTGTCTCACGTGGACGTCCCTGCAGCTGCAGCTGGCCACTGCCAGACGCTCCCAACTGACCAGCTCCAGGGCGACAGCTACGACGGCTACCGCGACAACCCCAGCTAGTATACCACTCACTAAGCTGCTGAGGCGTCAGAGGCTCGCGTGAATGTCGCTGGAGCTGCATCTGGCCACCTGCCAGTAGCAGTAGCGCAGGAAAGGCAGGCGCGGCAGGCAGGCAAGCAAGCAGGCAGGCAGGCAGGCAGGCAGG